CTCTTTTTTTGATGAACCTATTCATTCAGGTGTTTGTGGTTTGTGGATTGTGTGTTTTGTGCCCCGGAAATTGGATTTCCTGCCAGCATTTGCGCCAAAAATATCACATTTAATATTTCTTACAGCATCTCTGCATAGTGTAAACACTCCTTTACAGCGTGCAACAGTTTGTACTTACACTACATATCACCCATGGATAATAAAGTTTAATTGAAGCGCCTGCTCCCTGTAGCGTCACGTAGTACCTGTGTTCTGTTTGTTTGGTGTCTGTGCTCTGACTGCTTGCTTTCATCTTAAGCTCTCTCCAGGAAACATCAGCATCTCTGTGTCTCTTGTGCTGCCGAATGTTAATCGACTTAATCTGCCCTCATCCACAGATTCACGTTGTGTCATCTGCTGATTCTTCTCTAAACATATCATATCAGATCAGCTTTCTATTCACTGTATTCCATGTCTGTTTCTTTTTGTAGCTTCCATCTCTCCGAGACATTTGTAAAGCCATAAATAGTTTTTTTACTCTTTTCCTGGGAAACAAATGTTATGTGCTTTCTGCTGCTGCCCACAGGTCCAAATCCAGACCAAGAAGATCGACGTGAGCCACGTCACTGCCAAATGTGGCTCCATGTCCAACATCCGCCACAGACCAGGTGCTATTTTTTTAATTTAATTTGGAGGTTCTAAATTATTATTCTTCACACACAATTGAGCATATACATACATTAGCGTCTGACAAGGCATTTAAGGATTTAAGGAACATTGACAACAATTGTCATTTGTTTATCCTTCATTTTGCTTGTCCAGATATTCTCAGCAGATTGAGCTGAAAAAGTCTGCTTTAACTCACTCTTGTTTGTATCCAATGTTTAATTTACCATTTCATGTCTTTATCTTGCCTTATAGTGAAATTAATATGTAATTATAAAGAAAAATCTTGTAGAGCATTGGTTCTCAGATTATGATATCGGTACCACTGGTGGTAAGCAATCTCCCTCGAGTGGTATGTGGAGAAATCTTAAAAACATATAATATTATGAAAATCCCAAAGTCTGTATATACACTGTACACTAATGAAGCCAAAATAACCCAGCTACGGGCACTGCCATCTTGCGCTGGTGATGTCATTTGGAGCTATCATATTGAGGTCCCGCCCATACACCAGGCCGACTGAGGAGGGCTTAGCTGCCAATCATGATGTAAACCCCCCCCTTTTATAACATCAAAATAACTGATCATAACATCAACATCAGCGTGATAAGAACTACCTAGAATGACAGAAACTGTATTTGGGAAAAATGCGTTTTACCTGTATTTGCCCATGTCCTGTCGGCTAACATGTAGGTGGCGGGGTGTATGACCTATACCGCAGCCAGCCACCAGGGGGCGATCGAGCTGTTTTGACTTCACTTATGGGGATATGTCTTGTTGTATATTTTTATATACAGTCAATAGTTTGGCCAATAAAACATATGATTGTGCATACATTTGCCATAATGTCAAGATATCCTTTTTAATATCATGATGATGATGATTTCAAGCCTAGGCATATCTGATACAGAGACAAGATGGTGAATAGATAAAGCTGTTGTTTATAAGCACAGCATCCTTCCCATGCACTGCAGTGTGTGATTCTTTGCCCCGAGTGCGTTGTTCAGGAGAAGCTCTGGCCTGCAGGCGAGTGATGCCCCATGGGTTTGACTCTTTTCTTCTCCTTCTTGCTGTCCTGTCCCAAGGGGGAGGTCATGTACGTATTGAGAATGTGAAGCTGGACTTTAAAGAGAAGGCCCATGCCAAGGTCGGCTCCCTGGGCAACACCAGCCACACTCCTGGAGGGGGGAACATCATGGTAAGAAAAAGCACACAGATACACTCCTGTGCAGATAAAGTCTCAGTCACTGCCAGTTTCTGTAAAAATAGAGAACCTGACCTAAAGCCTTTCTCCTGCACCACCAGATCGAGAGCCACAAGCTGTCCTTCCGGGAAACAGCCAAAGCTCGGGTGGATCACGGCGCAGAAATCATTGTCACCCACTCCCCCGGGGTCGAGACAGGAGGCACTTCCCCTCGCCTGTCCTCTGCCGGCAGCATCAACCTCCTGGAGTCACCCCAGCTCTCCACGTTGGCCCAGGATGTCACCGCTGCCCTGGCCAAGCAGGGCTTATGAGCGGACTGCCTCCGCTTTCGGTTACCCTCCAAAATCCATTACTCCTCTTCCCATCAATCTCATTCACTCATCCAGTGTTCTCCCAAGGTCCCTAACTGCAACGTGACCCCAACACACACTTGACCCCACAGGTTCTACAGTTGTAGTTGATTGACTGTCTCGTCCGTCAACCACCCTTCCAGTGGGATTTTAAAAACTGAATTCTCTCATTATTCTTCATTCCACGCCCAGTCACTCTTTGTCTTTCGTTCATTTTTGTTCGCTCAAATATGGACATTTCTGTTTTGGTTTTAGATCAGGATGAATGCTGAAGTTTGAGTGGATGTGTTTGTCCAAGAAAGCATTGGTGGTTTAACGACTGTACAGCAATTTTTAGCGTGAAAAGCATCACATTCCACTTGGGTGGAGATTAAGGCGAAACTCATGCATAATGTCCATTCAGAATTTACATGGTACTGAATGCAACTACTAGATACTAGAGGCTAGTCTTAAAGATACAGCTGTGCGAGAGACTTAACGTACAGAAATTAGGTGTGTAGCTGTACCTGCAAAAGAATGGCAGATGAGCATGTTTGCTAAAATGTGACTTTTTAAGTCAAACGACATGGGTTTTTTTTTTTTGTTTGTTGGTTGGTTTTAATCTTATGATTTCCTGAAATGTGCTGAATTGTTGGACAAATGGTGTTCTCTTGTTATGTTTTCTTTTTATATATGTCACTGTAGTAGAAGTTGTTACAGTTTTGTACGTTCCCTGTGGCTGCACTGGCTTTTTAGCACTTAAATGTGGATAACCATTGCAGTTTTGTCAAGTCAAGCGCTAAAAGGCTAGCTTTCCAATAGATTTTTCTTTTCTTTTTTGCAAACCAATGGGCTGCTCTTTTTGTTTGGTTTTTACGTTAGCTCTGTGATTTTTATAAGGCTGCAACAATGCTGTTATGCTGGCATGGCAAATAAATGATAAATAAATTAGATCTATTTGGAGCAATCTTAAACTTTTCAGTGTGAGTGTAAACAACCAGGGTGCATTCAAGGCCCCTCATGCTCCTGTGGCCTTTCTCTTGCAGAGACTGGGTTGTATAATGTATTTGAATGGGCAACAAGTTTGTTTGAAAAGAGGAAAGTACGACGCTTTGTATGAAAACATTCCATTGAAAGAGCAGCTACTTGGCCCTTTTGTGTGTTTGAACCAGTAACTTAACAGGAAATGAAAGCAGAAATGACAAAGAAATGAAGAACGGGAGTAACCCTCAACTTGCAGCTGTTAGAATTCAGAAAAAAAAAGAATAAAAAACAAAACTGTTCTAGCATATTCTCTGCTCACCATTGTGAATCTCTGCCCCCTTTCTCCTCCTCCCAGATGTCAGTTACCCCTCCAGTGTTTTTCTGTGCTCCCTTTACTCTTGCCTCCCTCTTTGCCTGTGTAAGTGTATTTAAAAGACCATGTAGATGTGTGCACACTTTTCCGATGTTTGAGACGTAGCCTACTTATGACAAATGCTCCTACAGGATGACAACAACAGAAATAAAGAAAATAAAAACTGGTTCACCCTAGTCTCTCGTATGAATTTTAGAAAAATGTTGTGATCAATTTTTCTCCAGCATGGAAACACAAATATGTTGGTGCACATGGGTGGATGTGTGAAATGTAACATTAAGCCTCTTTTAGATCTATTTTTCTTGGGAAAACATGTTTTTGTGTACATGAAGGCAAGGAGTGTAGAGATTATTATTATTCATAATTTATTAACAAGCAACAGTGCTGACATACTACATACTGTATTAGTTATAGTAAGTTAGTGTAATGTGGAGGAGGAACACATTTTAATTTAAATTTATTTACTTAATAATTTTACAAATATTTTTCTGCACTTCTAGATTCACATAGTGAAAACTAGGACACCTAGTCGTGTTGGTATTGTTGTTTTCAATACTATTTAGTTACTGTGCTAATTAAGGTTAGCACAAAGACTAGTTGAGGGCGGAACAGTTGCCGGGCAACTAGCGGAGTCTCCAGGAAGTTCCGGCCAAGAAATCGTCCGCCACTAGTCGTCGATATAATAATGCCGATTTATTGTTTTTACACGGTGTTAATTAAACGAACTACATACAACAAGAATATTAGTGAGCTTTAGAGGAACTGCTAGTGGATTTTGTTACATTTGGACAGAGCCAGTCTTCCATTTGTGCTATCTTCAGGAAAGTTAGCCAACTTCTGCTGGTAACTTCAATTTTAAGATGCTTGTATTTTACTTGTATTTCCTTTTCTGCGAATCTGTAATTCTACTAATTCAACAGTTTTAAGCAAAACATTGCACCTTTTACCTAAATACATTTAATTGTCATATTGACTTTGCAAGTTAAGATTTTACATAAATGATCAGATTATAAAATATGATGCATTACTATAGATTATAATTATACATTATACATTTAGCTGATAATACATAATAGCTGTACTTTTTTTATGCAATATTGTGGCGTGTGCTAAAGGATGTTAAACAACCTGTTGATGGTCAAATGGCGGATAATCTCATCATGTGAACGCACCATCCGGATGCAATTCAACGCGCGTTAGAGCAGTTCGTGTTTCAGTCACAGGCAGCGTTTCTGTGACCTTTTTTCCAATATTGATGCACAAGGCAGAGAGGGTCGACAGAGAAAACATCTGGCCCGGCTGCACACTGCGTCTTTAAGCTCCGCCGCCGATAAATTAGCACGCCGATCAACTGTCGCTGTCCGGCGAGGGAGGTGCTGAAATCAGAGCGCCTTCTCCTTCTCTCTCTCTCTCTCTCTCTCTCTCTCTCTCTCTCTCTCTCTCCCCCACCCACCCTCCACCCCCTGCTCTCTCTCTCTCTCTCTCTCTCTCTCTCTCTCTCTCTCTCTATTGCCGCCGACCGACCGACACTTGCAGCCATTTTACGCAGGATGAACCCAATCATGTCGTGAGGGAAGCTCGCTGGTCACCTGGGCAGAGCCAGCAGCCCGCCGCGCGTCCCGGTGGTCGCACACAGGCGACAGGTCCGGCCAAAATGGTGAAGAGGAAAAGCCTGGACGAGAACGAGCCGGAGTGCGGGAAAGGAATACCGTTCCCCATCCAGACCTTCCTGTGGAGGCAAACCAGGTTAGTGTGCCTGTGTGTGTGTGTGTGTTTGCGTCAGTGGCAATTGATAACAGGTGTTTGCCATTCATTGTCGAAAATAAGGAGGATCCAAGATTTGACAGCAGCCTTGTCAAAGTCGCTGGCTGACACATGAAAAGGAGCACGCATTTCTATCCTAATAGGCTTCAAAATGCATGTATTGCCTTATTATAATTCAAGCCGTGAATGGGTAACCTGCCAGGTCCACTGGTTTCATTGAATGTTTTAAATGGAGGAACGTAGGCTGCTGATGTTTTTCTTTAAACGTTAACTGTGAATGGAGACGGGTGCAGATTGTATGATGTCACACCTGTAAGGCGAATTTATATCGAAAGTGGGCTAAATAAATTCGTGGTGTGTGGATAAGCTGCGGTGAAATGACTGCTTATGCTTGTACAAAATGTCATGGACAGAATATCTTACGATTTGACACTGGAGATTTAAGAGTGTAACCTACATTTATCATTTTATAAAATCAGTCTCATCTAAGCGTGTTTCTTATATTTTTCAGTGCATTTCTGCGCCCAAAGTTGGGGAAACAGTATGAAGCATCTTGTGTGGTAAGTTATTTCATAATGCCATGTGCGTGATGAGGAAAAATAATCACTCACTTCCCGGTAATCTGTTTTCACCTTAATGCACCTGCAAATCTAGTGGGCTCTTGATTTCACATTTAGCAAATTAGTTTTCCCCTTGCTTCCTCCTATTATCCAAGAGCCAGACCTTTGGAAACTCATATCCATAATGACGTTTCTCCAGAATCCCTTTGGATCCAAACAGAGCTGCCACTGTCTCTCCCACAGGCATTGCCTTGCTTGGGGCCATGTGGGACATTTAGATAGTCAAAGAAAGAGGCTTTAGTCCCTGGCTGATGTCTCTTTTCTCCTTCTCTTTGGCTGCCTCCCCAGTCCTTTGAGCGGGTGCTGGTGGAGAATAAGCTCCACGGGCTGTCGCCGGCCCTGTCAGAGGCCATCCAGAGCATCTCCCGCTGGGAACTCGTCCAAGCAGCCCTGCCTCATGTACTCCACTGCACCTCCATCCTGCTGTCTAACAGGAACAAGCTGGGTGAGGACACATATTACCAGCGCTTTAGGCATTGAGCTGACAGCCTTATCCAGGTTATCCTCATTCAACAAAACACAAAACTGATGTTCTTTCAGTCACAGGACAGTTACAGAACAGCCTGACCTCACAGCACATCACAGTTCTGGATTATCTGCAACAGAGAACCAAATAATTAACATGTTTATTTGAATGAAATCTATTATTTTTCTGGGTTATGTCAGCCCCTAAATGCATATATTGTGACTATTTTAAGCACTGAAATCTATACATACAAGCATTGATAATGAGAAGAAATGTTTACCTTGGTCTATTTCATTGTGGATTAAGATTTATAGGTTTAAGGTTTTATATTATTGCTGTTGGGTCCTGGGGAAAATTCCAGGTCCAGATGACATTGGATTTGATATTTTATTTAGGTCTAAGATATAGTTGACCTTTAATAACCCTCACAGAATCCTGCAATCCTTTAACAGAAGTGAAAAATCAACAGAAATTAAGTTACAAAGTGCCATACTCCTCCAGTGACACAGTGGCTTTATTCTGTCCATAAATCACCTTACTTAGCACTTAACCCCTGATCTTTGACCTCCGACAGGCCACCAGGACAAGCTGGGTGTGGCCGAGACCAAGCTGCTCCACACACTGCACTGGATGCTGCTGGAGGCTGCCCAGGAGTGCAACCACGAGCCCAGCCTGGGCCACGGCTGGTCCGCAGGTAGCAGCAGCAGTGCCTTCCTCCAGCCTGTGGGGAACCAGGGATCATCCCCGGGGGCTCCTGGCTCTTGCTCCGGCTCTGCCCTAGGAGGGTCGGGGCCCCAGCACAGCGGTTCGTTGCTGGAGGAGGATGAGAATGCTCGGACCAAGCTGTTTCACAAAAGTATGGCCACCGTGGAGCTGTTTGTGTTCCTGTTTGCACCGCTTATTCATCGGATAAAGGTCTGTACCTGATGATACAGTCTTGGAATTGACTTTTACAAGAGGAAAACAATATATGGGGGTGTTACTGTGCAATTTTTAGTATTTTCCATCGTACCAAGAACGACTTCCTCAGGGATTTTGTGTATATTAGTAGTGAAGTTATTTAGCAGCAGTTTCATTCAGCTTCATTCTAAAAGTATTAGTATCCTGACTTTCCCATATCAAACACACACACACACACACACACACACACACACACACACATACTCAGGGTTTCCCTATGGCTATTGATCTGTGTTTACAAGGGTCAGGTTACAGTACTCTTGGGATCACACTGTGATTTCCAAAAATACATTTCTGTACCTTGTAAGTGATCATGTCATAATAGCATTACACTTCCAACAACATGATAATATCATAGCGTTTTAAGTCATGAAACGTGTTAAGTACATCTTACAAGTTGCTTCATGCGTTGATTGGACAATGATTGGATAGTTAAGAAGGAGGGCTAAAATTGCTTCCTCTATAAATTCTTAATACATCACTGCTTTTTTAGGAGTCGGACCTGACCTTCCGATTGGCCAGCGGTCTTGTAATATGGCAGCCGATGTGGGAGCACCGGCAGCCTGACATTCCTGCCTTTACTGCGCTCATCAAACCCGTCAGAAACATTGTGACAGGTGAAAAAACAGCCATATAAATCCCTTATAAGAGTTAATCCATGTTTATTTGTTCATAATTAAGACATGTAATCTGCTATGCTTGTCTCAACAGCAAAGAGAAACTCCCCAGTCAACAACCAGTGTAGCCCCTGCGGATCAGGCAACCCGGGTCCCATGGTGAGTGAGCGTTATTAGCTCAGTTCTTGTCAGATTTTGCCTCCCATGTTGATTGAATGTGTTCAGGCAAGAGGTTTCTTTCCCTCCCCCTTCCAACATCCCCCTGAGGCTGGCTGCTAATATTCATTAGCACCAGCCATTTGGGAGCATTAGCGTGGTTAGCCGGGGTCATGACAAAAACCTCAGTCCAACCTCAGAGGCTTTAATTATCAAGGACTGTCTGTCTGTCTTTCTGCCTGTTTATCTATCCATCTACAGTATCTGTCCATCTCTCTTTCCCAACCACAGGGCTTCCAGGTGGTTTGTGAAGCGGCCCAATCAGATTCCTCCTCCCCCTCAGCTGGAGAGCAGAGCTGTCGTCGTGGTAACTCGGTCGAGAAAGGTGGCCCTTCCCAACAACCCCCACCAGTCAAAGGCCCTTCCAAGAAAAAGTGAGTGCAATTTAAGCTCACAAAGCAGTGACATGAGTAGCATTTGGTCATTGACTTTTTGGATTTGGGAATTACATTATTCAATCAGATGGGTACTAGTGTAAATGCAACAAGACCACGATAAACCCAAGTGACACTTTTCATTCATCATTCTCTTTCTTCTTTGCTTATGCTCACATTTTTGGAACATTTTATCTTTGGTTTGAACGACAAGGGAAAACTTGATTATTATTATTATTATTATTATTATTTATTTGATTTGTTGTCATATACTCACTTAAGAGTGAAAAAGGGTTCATACAAAAGTGCTGCAATGGCTTAGAAATAGCTTGCCCTTTGTGGCAACCTGTAATCCTTTACTGTAGGGATTCAAAACAAATCCCGTCAGGTTTAGAGCTCACAATTTCTATAGAAAAGGACCGACGAGACCCGCTTTGTACTGCAACACCAATGTGCATTACCATAACGACATCCATTTTTAACATAGGTGTTATGAGACACGTAGATGTTGTCTCATGCAACATGAACAGGCCTAGTTCTTTATCATTTTAAGTGGGTAAATCATGCAGTGAAAACAATATGTTAATCATTTGTGTAGATTCATAATGATCAAGATATGATTTCACTGCTTTCACAAAAGCTCCCATAAATGTCTAATCTTTCTGTGATAAACCCAATAAGGCGGTTGTGGGTTAAAGCAGTGCAGAAGTGCAGCGATTTATAAGTGACCCGCGCTGACACAGGGCTGGTGCCATCATCTTGTTGATGGCTAAACATTTATCCCTGCGGCGGCGTCTGTCGAACACACTGCACGGCACAGCTCGCTCCACTAGCTAGTGTATATGAATAGCTCCTCCTTCCCCTGTGTAATGTGTTGCTCTAAGCAGTGCTGTCTCCTCAGTCAGCACATACACACACACACACACACACACACACACAGCCTTGTCTTGCTTGAGCATTAGACCCATCTGACATTTGCCCACAAAACCAGGGTAATTATGCTGAAGTAATGTGCTACATGTCTAATGCTGGCAGTGTCCCTGGCCTAGCATGACATGGCCTGGCTTGATTTGGTCTGCCAACGGCAAGTCTGGCGTTGTTCTGCCTTCGCTGCCAGACTAAAGCTCAATCTGTGCTCGCTTTGGCACAGACAAGGTAGGTTTGACTAGCTTGGCTGCAAAGGTAACTCACTATATCGAGAGTCTGGTTTTGCTAACAAAAGTTTTGGTTATACAAAATTGTGCAAAGAATATCATAAATAAAAAGGATGTATTATTCAGACATATAAGAGCTCTAATAGCTCCAGTGTTTTTAAAACATGATTCCTGGTTTGAATTTGGTGAAACTGCATGATTATCACACAAATAGGTTCCCCAGATAAACATGTCAAAACATTTGCATTCTGCACATCGTATGTGGGTGTTTTCCGTTTTTAAGTTTATCATGGATCATCCAGAATCACCCAACCAGTGGGCTGACAGCGTGCAAGGGATGTAGGAGAAGGCGTAGAGAGGTTGATAAGGCATCCATTGCTCATCTCAACTCGCTCTGACAAGCAAACAAGTCACTCCAATGCTTTCCGTGATCTCTCTGACAGCCAGCAACTGACTGCATATCAAAATAAGCCCCAGTCCCCCTCCCCCAAGCTAGTTATATCCTCATACACTGAAACACCAAAGGGTTTTTGAGCAGTCACGTGGTAATGCACGAAGAGAGAGATTTATCCCTATTGTTTTGCAGCACACACCCAACAATGACAGATTAATTGCTTTCTGTAAGTGTTGGTGGTGGGAATTTGAAGCTGTTGTGTGTCTGAAAAGCTGGATAAGGGGAGAAAGTTAGCTGAATGAGAGTTAGACATACAGCAAGAGAGAATTTTGACATTTGAGGGGATTTAACTGTAAGAAGGAATTTATTTCATGCTCTCAAAATACCCTCTGAATTCAAATCTTATTTACTTCTCAATCATCTCAGAGGCCCCAAAACAGAGCTTATATTTGCATCTCATCCTCTTGTGCTCACACCTCGGCACTGTGCTGCCTAGATAAGATCATTTCCGCCATAAGGTCCTGTGATTAATGCAGCTTACTCATCCTGTGGCACCGCATCGCGAGCACTGCTGATGCTGAGGCAGTTTCCATGGCAACCGCTGGCTGCTGCATCTCTCTTACCGCATGGAGTCAGGGGGCTGGGCCGCTTCCTCTTGGAGGGCCCGGGGTGGCTGTCGTCACTCGGTCTCCATGGCAACCTGACACAACAGCAGTAGGCAGAGTGTGTGTGTGTGTGTGTGTGTGTGTGTGTTGGGCTAGACAGTGAAACATGATACAGCCTCCCTCTGCTGTCCGCTCTCAAAGTGATTCATGTAGATATCGACCATCCCTCCCTGCTCCATTTATTACATTGGCCAAGATTAAATGCCTTCCTCTGTCTCTCTCTCTCCCTCTCTCATGGTATCAATATGTTTCTCCACAGTGTGCGGCGCTCTATACGCTCTGTAGCTCACCAACCACTGACCTTCATTCCAGCTTATTTATAGTGGACTCACGTAGGCTTAGGCTCCCTCTCTCACCACTGCTCTCCCAATGATGCTAGAGGGGGGCTCTGCCCTTGTTTACCATCCTCCTTTGATGCATTATTAATGAAGCAGTGTGGCGGGAGTTGATGACAGGCTAATACAACAGGAGAGGCTGTGAGACATTTTAATTGTTGTGTATGTAGTTAGTTGTTTGACAGTACTAGAAGGGCTCAAAATGCAGACAAAATGTTGCTCATTGACATTTTCTCATGATTCAACTGTTGATGATCAGTTTTGTATAATTTCACTTCCTTTCAGTATCTCTTAATTGCCCTTTTCACAATTTCTGCATACATTTTGATTTCTATATCTGCCACTCTCAGCCCTTCATCTGAATTGTTTTTACCCGTTTTACTTTCCACCTTTATACATCTGCTTGGTTTGGTTAGCCATAAAACAACATATACACATACACGTATACACAAAATCAAAAACATAGACAGTCACTACAGAAACATAGATTCAATCCAGGTGGGGACATCTGAGACAAAAAAAGTAAAGTAAAACAAAACAATCTGTAAATCTATAAATAGAACAAAAAAAAGACATAATAATTATCATAGTATAGTATTATCATATGTGTATATATATATATATACGAATACGAATACATATACAGACATCAATCAGCTGGATTACTTTTGTTAGTTAAGAAAGTAGTTAAGTTTCTGTGTTCCTTTTCGACTGCGTTACGGTTAGGTCTCAGTAAAGACAGGGTGAGGTTTTTGATGCAAATTAGCTAAAACAACTAAAAACATCCTTGTCTCTACCCTCTTCTTCAAGGACATCAGCCCCTGCTGGCCTGCCAACCTCCCTGGCACAACGAGCGCGCTACGCCACCTACTTTGACGTGGCAGTGCTGCGCTGCCTCCTGCAGCCACACTGGACAGAGGAGGGTGTACACTGGGCCTTGATGTTCTACCTGCAGCGCCTGAGGCAGATCCTCGAGGAGAGACCTGAGCGTCCCCCGGAACCCTTGGTCACGCCTCTGCCACGGCCGCGAAGTAGCTCCATGGTGGCTGCCACACCGTCACTGGTCAACACCCACAAAACTCAGGTAATAGCAGGAGGACAAAGGGGGAATTGTGGGGTGCCCTATCTCACCTGTTTGAGCTGGTGCCCCATGTACCAAGGCTAAATCCATGCTTCCGCAGATATGGGTTTGAATCGGATCTGTTGCCCTTTTCTACATCTCATCCCCTCTCTCTCCCTCCTTTCCTGTCAATCTTCAGCTGCCCTATCCAATATATATATTTTTTTAATCGCATGTTCATGCTGTACTGACCGTTGCATCATCTGTATCCTCTGCTGTGTTTTGTAGGACATGAGTCTGAAATGCAACGAAGAGGGGAAATCTCTTAGCACAGAGACGTTTGCGAAGGTTTCTCTGACCAACCTGCGTCGACAGGCAGTCCCCGACCTCGCCTCTGACCTGGGCATAAACATCTTCAAGAAGGTCAGAGCCAGACATCCATGCTAGAATGCTAATATTATTAAAATCATATGTGATGAGCATTATCTAATGGATCAGGACAAGTAAGGCAGTGTTAGCTAGTTCACAAGCACAAAACATGCATAATTCATTACTTTTCTGATTTAATTTTGGGACTGGCCCCTGACTATTGCCCAACACAGTGTGTTAAGATTATGTTTAGTCTATGTTGGAGTTGAACTTTATGTTTCAGTTTAAGAACCGGCGTGAGGACCGTGAGAGAAAGAGCTCCATCCCCTTCCATCACACGGGGAAAAAGCGCCAGCGCCGCATGGGGGTTCCTTTCCTGCTCCATGAGGATCACCTGGACGTATCGCCCACCCGCAGCACCTTCTCCTTTGGAAGCTTCTCCGGCCTCGGTGATGATCGGCGGGCTCTGGACCGCGGAGGCTGGCAGGCCACCATCATGGGTAGGCGAGAGTGCTGTTCATAATGAGAATAGATTGCATGTCACTAGTTCGCAGTCTTGCTTCCTCTCCCCTAAGCTCCCATTTGGTGAATCAGACAGTTCTGTCTGGATCTGGCTGTCAGCTAGTGAATTAGGTCAGTTCATTAACATTGGTATTCCTTATTAGCTCTCAATGAGAAGTGTGATTAAAATTTGCTCTAGGCGCAAAGCCATTTTTTATTTTTATTATTCAGAGTTAGTGCCTCCTTTTCACAAAAAGTACTGTTATATATCCCGTTAGTTTAGCTGCTGCTTGAACTGATCTCTATTCACAGGAAGAAATGTTCTAAAAATGCCCAATACATGCAGGTAAAAATAGGGAAATAGGGCTTTAACACAGTATATTTGAACGTTTTAGTAGGACAAAAACAGCCTCTGTCCAGGTCTTTTTTGGCATTTTATCGTGTATTTGGATCTGTATGTGTGTGTGTGTGATTAATCCAACCAGATATATTTATCTGTTGCATCACTTTCCAGGCAAATTCACACGGAGGGGCAGCAGCGACACAGCTGCAGACGCCGACAGCCTGAGTGCCAAACACTCTCATTCCCACCACTCTCTGCTCAGAGACATGCCCGACCACTCCAACAGCCACAGCGATAACACCGTCAAAGAGGGTAAGGAGAAGGCTGGGCTGTGGTTCAGAGTTCTTCTTCTTAAGACCATGACCAGGTGTGAGCAAGTCGTGACCAAGAAAAGAACAAATTCAGTGCTGCATAATTTCTGAATAATACAGGAGGAGGAGTTTCTTAAACATGATTTGCATTCTGCAATCTGTTAACTTTTCATTATCTGACAAATCCAAAGAACATTGATTCACTCAATCTGAATGCTATCATATGGTAGTGCTAGGTGAAGTAAACCATAAATACAGAAAATAGCAATTTTTCATAAGGAACAAAAAAGTAAAGTCAGCATACAGCAGTGATTAAGGTCAATATGAAGATGATGGAAAATTGTCTGTGCAGTTCCAAGAGAGGCTGGCAGACTCTAAGACTTTATGAAAATGTACAAATGAAAACTACAATCATATTACAATCCATCAGCTACAACAAATGCCAGACGCTGCTGACTCCACTGAGGCTTGCTGAGCTGAACAGAAATAGGACAGGATTATATAACAGTAATATTCCTGTGACAATGCTAATTTACATACAAATAACTGTGCTGGCTTTAGACTCTGCTCCACACTGCACAGTATAGAATAGAATATAAAATAGAATAAACTTTATTGTCCCAGAGGAGAAATTTGTCTTGGGGATAGTGCTACAGTAGTATGCGTACTATTACGTTTTTTATGAGAACAAAAGATACTGGATACTAGATAGAACTGATTTTGACATGATACATACATGATAAGTAGGATAGAATAAAGATTTAAAGAACACATGCTGGATACATTGAAAAATAACTTTTAATAATAGCTTTGTGGGAATATTCTTTGTAGTTTTTATTGATCATATAATTTAGAAATAAGGAGGACAAGCTGCCATGAGTACAGTTTTTGAATTTTTTTCTTTACACCAAGTAAAAACTGAGCTCTCGTTTTCTTCTAGTGCCACTCAAAAATAATTTTACACTCCTCACACACACACCTCTATATTAACTAATGTTTTCTGAAATTGAATTTTATACCTCCTGGAGTTCCCCTTTATGAGCAAGATAAGCACACCAGGCACTTACATTACGCCTTAAATTAGACCTTTAAGCCTCAAATTAAGTTATTAAATCCTAATAACTTTGAGGTCGTGTTTGCCCTTTTGTAATCACAATACATGACAACATTTTTTCGACTGTACTTTACCTCTCTGCCACCCACAGTTCGATCTCAGATCTCCACCATTACGATGGCGGCATTCAACACCACAGTGGCATCCTTCAATGTTGGCTACGCCGATTTCTTTACCGAGCACATGAAGAAGCTCTGCAACCCCGTCGCTGTCCCTGAGATCCCTGTGGAGCCTCTGGCCTGCGCCAACCTGCCACGCAGCTTCACCGACTCCTGCATCAACTACTCCTGTCTGGAGGAAGGGGAGAACATTGAGGGGACCAATAACTTTGTGCTGAAGAACGGCATGCTGGACCTCACTGTGAGTGTTCGGTCTTTCAATGAAACCTAAAGTGAATGATCCCTGTGGGAAAATACGGTTAATGGATGTTATTGGCCTACTGCTGCTCTGCTAAAACAACAATGACACCGGTGGGAATGTAAACTGTATCTGATGCTTTATTTTCCCAGTCTTGGTCCTCCAAATTGTAGAAAATGTTGCATTTGCTGCTTTCTTTTGTAGAATTATACAACAGTCCTTTTCCCTCATTGTCCTCTTCCTGTCGTTTGGCAACTTATGATGTTTTTAAACAATTTCTCTCCTTTTCTCCCCCCTGTCTTGTATTTTAGGCAGTTTTGCGGGCTCTCTATGCTGTCCTCAGCCACGACATCAGCTCCAGGATCTGCGATGTGGCCCTCAACATCATCGACTGCTTGCTGCAGCTGGGCGTGGTTCCCGGCATGGGCAAGAAACTGTCCAAGCCCGACAACAAGGAGAACCAGGAGGCACGAGCAAAAGACGCAGCGGGCCAGGGCCTCGGGGGAGGCGCCCAGGGAGGCGGGGCAGTCCCGGGTGCAGGAGCTGGTGGAGGGGGAGATGGAGGCGGAGGTGGAGGAGGAGGCGGCAGTGGTGGAGGGAGTGGGCAGGGGAGCAAGGATGATGTGAAGAATAACAAGGATAATGATAAAAAGGTGTGGTCCTACTGTATTTTTGGAAGTGGGTCGTAGCGGTTACATCTAAATATATCTACATAAAACTGTGTGTTCATGTTTGTGTCCTTCACCATGAACAGGGAGAGGGCTCTGGCTTCAGCACCCACCGCCTGGCTCTGACCATGCTGATAAAGATAGTCAAGTCCCTGGGTTGTGCCTACGGCTGTGGCGAGGGACACCGCGGACTGTCTGGAGACCGCCTCAGGATGCAGGTCAGACTCTTCTCTCTGCCTTGAATGACCCTCCTCTGAGCATGTGTGTGCAGTTTTCACAAATCAGCACAGTTTTCTGATGCCTGACATTTATTCATTTTCTATTAATTATTAACCATATTGCTCCTTTGGTGTGCTAAAAGTTTCATGAAATTGAAATTAATCCTGCAAGGGGGTTTCTAACTTTAGTGAGTCGCAGCTGCAGTTCTATTTCAATGCTGATCAATATTTTTTATTATGAGATTAAGTTGGATAGGAGACATAAAATGCTAGAAAGCTGATATCTTTCATGAGAATCAATGAAAAGTGATGAAAATAGCACATCCTCCAAAGAAAACCACTTTATTACTACCTGACTTATTTTTAAAACAGAGCAGGCCAGCTTCAAAAACATTGCTTCATGTCAATATTTCATAATGCACAGTGACTTCTTTCCTAAAATATCCCCTTCCAATTCTCTCCTTTCAGGCCCAGAACTGCCTGACCAGCCTTTACAAGCTGGACAAGGTGCAGTTTCGACAGACAATGCGCGAGTACGTCAACAAAGACTCTCTCAATAATATTGTGGACTTCCTGCATGCGCTGCTGGGCTTCTGCATGGAGCCCATTACTGACAGTAAGTATGTGGCGTGAGTGAGTGGGACCAGATGAAGATCTTGACGCACAAAAAATATACGTATGCGCTGGTAGCAAATGCACAAATAGGGTGCATCAGGGTTTGACCGACGCTGATTTTTAAGTCCTGAAACCATTCAGTTTAGGACTGATGCTGCAAAAAGTCAATATTCTGTGCAGTAGGGCTGCGATTAACGATTATTTTTTATTATCCATTAATCTGACAATTATGTTTTGGATTAAGTGATTAATTCTGCAGAATGTCAGAAAAAGTAAACATGATTAGCTCTGGTAGGCTGTGCTTCCAGGCACAGCAATGTTTGAGGTAGATGCAAAAGTCAGCTAACATGCTCACGATAACAGTGCTTATATGTTTTAACAGGTTTACAGTTAGCATGTTCATCATCTTAGTTTAGTGTGTTAGAATGCGAACATTTGCTGATTAGCATTTTGGTCAGAGTCAAATACCTGCAAAACTATCAACATTCCCATCACCATCAGCTGTCCTTTGTGTGTAATGCTAATTAGCAAACGATAGCATGTTAACAGGCTCAACAAAACCAGCAAAAAGGGTGAACATGTTAACACTATACCTGCCTTATATCAGCAATGGTGGCATTGTCATTGTGAGCATGCAGAGCTTTTGCGTTTACCTGAAGCCAGTTAAATCACAATATTGGGCAAATAAAATTTTTACCTGATGATCATCTTGTGGAAAACACAAATGTCTGTACCAAATTTTGAGGCAATCCATACGATAGTTGTTCAAACAGTTCAGATAAAAATGACAACCTCATGGTGGCGCTAGAGGAAAAGTCAGGGGACCACCAATGTTCATTGACATCTCAGATGTCACTACAGTTTTCATGGCAATCCCTCCAGTTGTTTTTGAGATATTTCAGTCGTAACCAAAGCGGTGGGCCGACCAATCAGCTTACTTTGCTGTGCCTAGAGCCACACTGGTTAGTAATGGCCATCGCAATTTCTCAAACTCAAATGTAATGTCTAATTGAATTTTGGCAACAACCCAAAATACAAAGATATTAAATTTACAATGACACAAAATAGAGAAACGTAACAGACCTTCACATTTGAGAAGCTGGAAGCAGTGAATGTTTGCCATTTGTTTTTTAGAAATGGCCTCAACAATTAATCAATTTTCAAAATAGTTGGCAATTAATTGACAAATCGTTTCAGCACTACTGCTCAGATCTTTACACTCAAGCAAACACTGTTATGTTTATTAAAGAATTATAGTTCAATCAAATACACCACACAAAGGTCTAATGTGGGTGCTACATCATAGAGAAGTAAAAAGTTAACATTTTTCAACATTTAATAATAAAATAATTCTAGTGTGGTTGACAAAGCTGAATTGCACTACCGCTGTCTCACCCCGCACTTCGACTTTGCATTCCAGCGCTATCTCTGTTTATATATCTGTTTTTCCCTTCCTCCTACCACTTGTCTCCGCTTGTCTGTGTCCCTTTTTGTCGTCCTCCTCCTGCTTCCATCTTCCCTCTTTTTCTTCATCCACTTCAATGAGCTGAAATCCTACCTTCCTTACTCACTCATCCATTCTGTACACTTGCCAATCCAAAGCTTTACCCCATTGCATCTCTGCTCAATCAGTGGCTTTATTGCTGAGCATTGAGACACATTGTACATGCCAATTCAGTTTTGCACTGACATTTGTTTTGTACATGGTCACTACAATACTGTGCAATTGGCAAGTTACTGAACCGATGAGTGTTTTAATTCTGAAAGTGAACAGGGCACCTTGTTTAGCTTTTTGGTGTACGTGTATGTGTGTGTGTGTTATTTTTGCGCGTGGTAATCTGTGCGTGTGCGTCTCGAGTTCACCTCCTTCCGGAGGTGGGGGTGCCACATCCTTTCTGACACAGCGTACATGTCTGTGCTGGCCTGATGTCAATCAACTTGTGCCCCGCCTCTTTTCTCTTGCAGAGTACGGCAGTGCAGGTGAGAGGTCCAGGAGGGCGAAAAAAAGAAACATCGGTAGATACACATGATTAATAACAGCCAATAATATTAGCAATAACATGAATATACTCACCCGATCAGACCCTTCCCTAGGCACTGCTTCCATTGCTGCACCCTTCACTCTCTCCAAAAGTGACAAAACTCGCCTGCAACTCCAAAATTTAGACTTGTATGATCAAATCTGGTATTTATTTTTTGCATAGACATTATTGCATAGATAAGTTTCATCTTACTGGACCAAGAGAATAAGCCCCTTACTGTATGTTTTTATAGCAGGCCTTAGTCACTTGCATGTATTCCTTATCCCCTACCCAAAATCCTTTTCAGTTTGCTTCTCCCCCATATGCTTTATGGACCCTTTTACTTTGCCCACCCCCACCCTTCCCTCCCTATTGTATGGGCTCAATGTTTTATACTCAAGTGGGTCAGCTCTCAATAACGTTCTCCCCCCGCTGACTAAACCACCCCCTGTGTGATCCGTGGTCTCTCCCGCCTCCCTGTTGCTTCCAGACAAGGCGGGCTTCGGGAACAACTTCACCACAGGGGACAACAAGTCCGTGGCGCAGAATATGGAGGCAGTGGTGGTGGGATGCATGTTCAAGTCCCTCATCACCCGCTGCGCCTCCACCACACATGAGCTGCACAGCCCCGAGAACCTGGTGAGTGGTGTGTGAAATCAACTGTTCATCTGCCCTCTCTGTCTGTGTCTGTTTTTTTCATTTCCTGAATCTGTGACTCTCTCAATTGGTGTACTTCAGATATTCGGTCTGCGTTTCACATATCGGTTGTACTCCCATTAGATGCAGACTTTTTTGCGCAATGTTGTAGTTGAATTATTAATGGCTAATTTTTCTTTTTCCTTTGCTGTGCCTAGAGCCACACTGGTTAGTAATGGCCATCGCAGTTTCTCAAACTCAAATGTAATGTCTAATTGAATTTCGCGACAACCCAAAATACAAAGATATTAAATTTACAATGACACAAAATAGAGAAACGTAACAGACCTTCACATTTGAGAAGCTGGAAGCAGTGAATGTTTGCCATTTGTTTTTTAGAAATGGCCTCAACAATTAATCAATTTTCAAATAGTTGGCAATTAATTGACAAATCGTTTCGCACTACTGCTCAGATCTTTACTCAAGCAAACACTGTTATGTTTATTAAAGAATGTTGTAGTTGAATTATTAATGGCTAATTTTTCTACTGGGCCTGAAGAACAATCACTTATGCCGCCTTTGTTAATTAATGCCTTGTCATATATGATGAATTGGAAACGAAATGTACTTAATATCATTCTGTGAGTAAAAAGACATTAACTTGAGATCATTTCAGTTATTTTCTAGAACATACGCTGAAGTTCTCAAAGGTCCTTTGAATTGCTTGGCAGTTTCTCTGTGAGACAGTCTTACCTCATACAAAATAATAATAACTTCTCTTTATGTATCTCACATAATGACTGGCCTTGGAGTGTTTTGTCAAAGACCTAAATCCTTGTATCCTTGCAAAGGCAAGCTCATTTGTACAGTATCATTCAAACAAAGAGGCAATTCAAAGTGCTTTACAAAAGGCAAAGAAATGTAGTAGAACGCTAATACATAATAAAGAATAAGCTACAAAATACACAAAATGTAATAGACAAGGTTTACAGTTTCAGAGCAGTTAGAGTGCAAGTGTAATAAAGCAAATAAAACAGCAGTCTAGATTTAGATTTTTGGCTTTTAACACTTTAACACAGTAATGTTAGCAAGCAACATAACGTCAGGTAATATTATTTAAATAGCACATAATTGTAATCAAAGTGTGAATGTTAAAACAGCTATCAATGTTGTGATATAATTTTTTTTAATGTATATATATATATATATATTATTTTAATGGTGACCTACACGTATTGCAACTGCCCAATTCATTTATGAAACCATTTATTTAGAATTTTCCATCATCCAAAATACCTTCTTCAAATTAAATTTTTTTCAATCTAATTTAGCAAAGGGTGCATGCATTCCTGTTAAATCTGTGTGAATCACCTCTCTAAGAGCACTTAGGTAGCACGTACATGGTGCATCAAAACCCTCAAGCCTGGCATGACTTGTGTACGTTGGCGGTAGATGACACACTATTCAAGACAGGCTTTATTATGGCACAGAATCAGAGGCCACCCACTCACAAGCTGGACTTGGTGCCTGAACAAACAAGCGTGCTCATATACACCACCTCTTTATGCATAAATGCATGTGCAAACATACACACTGTTTGATGCTAACTGCAATGTAATATCAGCCTGATTTTAGCTCTAAGCAGTCAGTTTCCTTTGTGTCTTCTTCTTATTCTTCTGACACAATCTCTCATTCGCACACCATTCAACTCACACATCCCTCGCTCTCACTTGTTTGCCACCCTCCTCCTTCCCAGGGCCTGTACTGTGACATCCGCCAGCTGGTGCAGTTCATTAAGGAAGCCCATGGAAACGTGTTCCGCAGGGTGGCGCTGAGCGCGCTCCTGGACAGCGCAGAGAAGGTCACCACCACTAAGAAACCGGAAGAAAAGGAGGAGACCAAACAGCCCGGACACAGGAGGTACTGGCCAATCAGCGGTGGGAAATGGTCTCAATTACATCATGGCCAAAAAAACCTTCCCCTTTTTAAGCGGTAGCAAAATATTTCTCATCTAATCCCAGGGATTGGTCGCGTAAAGTCTTACTTTCTTCCTTTCTGACAAATCAGAGTTATGCTTCTCATCACTGCTGGCTGTTTTTATTTCTTTATGTTTTTTTTCTGTCCTGTCTGCATCTGTTTTTCTTGCTTGAGTGACTGATTCGATGTTCTTACTTCCAAAATGATGTAGCATACTGGGCAGTGCTGCCAGGAGGCACCTGCACTATTTTTGTCTCGTCATGTGACCACCAAACAGGAAATGGAAGTCCCATTACAGCTATCTATGATTTTATATTATCTTAAATCTAAGTTTGAATAAGTTTAAATAACCATTTGCTTTTAGACTACCAGGTCATGTGATTAAGACAGAGTTGCCTTTTGTGGAGAATGCCCAGTGTGCTGCATCCAGGTCCTCTAGTCTTCCAAGTCCACTAAAATAAAATGTGGCTTGATAGTCACAGTTGATTTGTCAGAAGAGCTTACTGTCCAGTTATGTGCAGTGGCTTACACACAAAACACAGCTGTTTGGTCTGGTTAACTGAACTGAATAAAGATGAGACACATAAAACAAACCTGCCTCAGACGGACTACCTTTGAATCATAACATTACAGTTCACCAGGCACCAAACATTATTGCAAGATTTGCAGCGGGCAGCATGGTGGCCCCATGGCTAAACACGCAAACACTACACATAAGGCTTGTGTTTCCTCTAGGAGCTTCAGTTTCCTCCCCCAAAAGACATGCATGTCAGGTGTTAGGCCAATGATTATACAGAAATGTACCTATTTCTTGAGTTAGTTCAGGTGATTTTATACTTCGTGTTAAAGCACTGCAGCTATGTAACTGACAATTATAAAATGGCACTACTACGTTTGTTTGTTTTTCTGCACATTTTCCTTTTCTATACTTTTACTGCAAAACATTTACTAATATTGTAAACATGCACTATGATGACAAGATATGATAGAAATGTATATGGAAGTATATGGTAGTAAGTATATATGACAAGTAGCCAATGCAGTGCGGTAAGCAGATTTTCTCGTACAGGGATGAATAAAGTGTAACAACAGCAAATTACATTACTTACATGTTATAAATTCTTTACGATATTATAGAATTGTTTAAAATTATTGGTCGATATCAAACAGGCAAATACTTAGCCAAACATCTAAAGCTTCAATGGAAGGATCACATGGGTATGCTTCAATGCATCCGGAGAGTTCAGTTGGTGTCTGTGTGTTGGGTGGGTGTGTGTGTGTGCGCTCGCAGGTCCGAGGCGGGTGTGTCCGGGGAGAAGGGTCAGGTGTCCAGTGCTGCAGATGAGTGTCGCAGCTACATCTCCAGTAGACCCCCCCAGACACCCGAACAGTGAGTGTCCACCTCACAGCATCTCCATATAGCACCATCTGTCGTGCCCAGCTGCCATTTCTCTGCTTAAAAACTTTTAAAACTCTTCCTATTGCTCCCCTCTGACTCTTTAATAAAGAACAGGTCACGTTGAATTTACACTGAAAGATATACAAATTTGTAAAAACTTCAAGTCGTCATCCTTCCTTCCTCCATATAAATAATCAAATCCGACTGCATTCCCTCTCTGCACCTCCAGTGATGAACAGATCCCAGGTGCTCTGCTGGGCAGGAAGGATTTTTGGAGGAAGATGTTCAAGTCGCAGAGTGCCGCCAGTGACACCAGCAGCCAATCAGAGCAGGACACCTCTGAGTGCACTACTGCCCACTCTGGCACCACCACTGACCGGCGCTCTCGTTCCAGATCGCGCCGCATTTCGCTTCGCAAGAAGCTGAAGCTGCCGATAGGTAAGAGCACTTATTATGCAGTCTACCTCTGATTGGACACAGGTCTGAAAGCACAAAGCCTGTCAATGCTTTCTTTCACTGCAACAACAGTTGTTTATTTTGTAACAAGTGTGCATTCTTTGTGCTTCTGTAAATTTGTTTTAGTATTACTTAGACTAATCTGTACATTTTCGTGATTATAAACTTGCAAGAGTTAGCTTTCAGAAGAGACCAAGTATATATATATATTGGTCATTGGTGGTAAGTAATTTCTTGGGCTCTGGCAAAATCCAGCAAAATGTCAATTATACCAAATTCCATAGTGTAAAATCTAAATTTTAAAACTGTTGTATGTGTCAATTTCAATGTAGATTTGTTTTCACCTAACAAGTGATATGAATACAAACCCACTTGAAAAGTTAAGAGTGTCTATATATATTGACTGATTTCATTGTCTAACAAAGTTACCAAATCATTCTTTTTTATATTAGATCTGGTCACAGTATGTATTTTCATGACCATCCCTTACTGCATTTGCTGTCCCAGCTATCGCCTTGAAATTCACTCTAACATGTTTTGTGTGTCTAACATCGGAACACTGCCTGCCGCAAGGCCAAGTCACTTCATCTCTTTGGTCTGTTTTGTGTTCCTTCTTGTGCCTTAGCATGCCGTGGGACTGTTCGCCTACCACTCACTCTCTCTGTCTTACGTATGTGGATGTGGAGCCATCTTCATACAGTATTTGTGTCACGTCTGTTTGTGTTGGTCATCTCTCCCGATGTGCACAGTGTTCCAGACCTGGGTCAAATTGTATTTGCAGATTGTATTAGATGGATGAAGGGTGCTGCAGGAAACAACAGACTTTTCTCTCTGGCACATAATGCCCTACAAAGGCAAACACATTTACAGCCAATAACAAATGTAAATATAAATGTTTTTGGACCGAATGGATCAAATCCGGAGGGGGTTGTGAAGCTCAAAATTGTTATTCACTGTAGAGTTGCTTCTTTCATAATGTAACCTTATGGGAAAAAGTATTTTTGAGCCAGTGCTGTAATTACACAGTTCGGCAACTATGTCAGATTGGCTTCAAAGTCCCGTGCTCTTCCAGGGGGCTTGGGCTAGACTTAGCTAAAGCTAAACATTTACTTACCATCAGTCAATGAAACTTGTCAAACCAATATTTTAGTAATTCACTTTTTATTCCACATATCTAAATAGTTATTTAACAGCTCGCTAAACTCCAGGTAAAGCTCATTTACTAACTTTGCTAATAAATGCACATTTGCAAATACTACTCGACAAGGGTCTTTTTGTTCAAGTTGTCTTATAAAAGTGACACAAGTTAGTTTTGTACCTTTTATATATTTTTTGAATGAACCTCAGTGAATCTTTGTGACTTTAAATACCCTGAACGTATGTGTTCAATAACAATGCAGGAATGCTTCCTCTACTCAACCCTTGTGTGTGTGCATGTGCACTTGCCTTCATAACCGAGTGTGTACTGTACATTTGTGGCTTCCTTTTATTCTGTGGTGTTGGTTGTTCATGTGCATTTTTTTTCTATCCACATGTATCTAGGCAACTGGCTGAAGCGTTCCTCTCTTTCTGGACTGACTGATGGTGTTGAGGACCTGCTCGATATCAGCTCAGTGGATCGACTCTCCTTTATACGGCAGAGTTCAAAGGTCAGGGGATACTAACATAGCGTGTTGCAGTCAGCCACACCCACACCCATACAGCTCACATTATCATTAACATAATCAGAAAAACTAACATAAAAAAGAATCAGTACAACCAAAAATGTGTTTTTCTTTTATTTAATTTTTTTATTATACTACGATAGCAGGTTATTTTAATTGAAAACTTGTCTATCATGGGTATTTTTAAGGCTGATTACAGTTTTTTCCACCTGTATATTGCAGGCAGTGTGGAGAAGGCTAAAACTGAACAGTTAATTGAATATATGAAATATGAAAGAATCTACAGACTGGGTGGCTGGTCAAAATTTTAGATTTTGTTTTTTATTTTTTGGTATTTTGCCATTTGATTGGCCTATCCGTCTGAACATGGCTTTGTTTTGTATGTGTGCGTGTGTCCGTGTGTCTTAGGTCAAGTTCACCAGTGCGGTGAAGCTGTCAGAGGGCGGTGCGGTGGGGCCAGAGTACGCCAGGGACGAGGAGGAGAATTTCTTCAAGCGGCTCGGTAAATGGAGGTCTGGCAGGAGGAATCCATCCAAGCTTCACCACACAGAAGAGAAAGATGGTAGACCTCCCCCATCCCGGGGTGCCCCTTGCCCACCCACACCCCATCGTCCTTTGTTTATTTCTCTCTCTCTTCCTGCTCTTGGCTCTGTTTGTCCGTGTGGTGTCGTGTCTTGTCTCGCCTCGCAAGTCGTGGTCTGTTCTCTTCTGCCAGTTCTTTATGTCAGCTCTGCCGGATAGCTGCCTGCTACACTCCGTTAGCCTGAATGTATTAATTTCAACCCATCAGTGTCTAATTTGTGAAAATGTACTTTTCTGAATGATTGGCACGATCTGTAGCTTCCCAAAAAGTCCATGCAAGACAATACAGTTGTAGTACTTTAAAGCAAGATCCAATATTCAATACATTTAACTGCTGCAGCGTCAATTGGTCTACTATGACAGGTAGCTTAGGGGCTAATTTTAGATAATGCTAGCAAACTTTAGATAGACTTTTTCTTCTCTACTTGTGCTACTGCTACACGAGATTTTAGCACACCGTAACTCACCAGGAGATATATCAGTTGTTTTTCTCCTTGCAGTCCCATTCCACTCACTTCAAGTCACATGACCTAAAAATTATGTCTTTAAGCCAAATGGCTCAAACAAATCTTGGAGAAATTAATGAAAATTCAACATGCCATTACACCATAATTGCTACTTTTGGCCACAGTGGCTGTTGTAAATAATAAATCATTGCCTATTTTTACCTATGTGGTGTTTGTTTTGGAAAACACAAGATGCTACACAAACCAAATTTGCAAGGCTGGATTACCAACCAGGTAAAGTGGGCAGCTTCCCAGTCTGAGGCCCTGAATCTTGAAGCCCCATCTTGTGAAAGGCCATGGTGTAAAAATCTTAAAAAAAATAGATAAATAAATATTTTATAAAATATTATGCTTAATTGGTGCATTTTCTTAAATCATAACCATACTAATTTGGGGGAGTCACTTTTTGCCCCCGGGCCGGCTAGCGGGTTAGCAGTGTTTTACACTGACTTGTGCAATGAAACAAAAATTGCCCAATTACTTTATTGCTCTATGTTACATCTTGTAGTTAGTTCAAGAAGATCACAATGCCAGACATTCAGATGTGTTGAAATCTTCATTAGCAGTAGACTCAGGTCACAAATGGAATGAGATTGTAAGTTTTTTTTTCTTCTAAATCCTTTCCAAAGAGCAGCAGATTTTGGCATTACAATGAAAAAGTCTCGAAGAACACTCTTCAACTGTGTATTACCAACTCTACATTCCCAACTATGCACGTCCTGTTCCCTTCAACGCTGAACCCCTTTCTCTTTCTTCTACTTAACGATGGAAAGAGAGGAAAGGAGGTGTGTGGGAAAAGTTCATGTCTATTAAACCATCTTTCTACTGTACTGTAGAGCTGTGCTATCTCAAGCATGATGCTGTCAGTGCTCTCTCCGTCTCTTCTGTGGTGATGTCTGGTGGTATTTTCCGACGCCTGAGTTTCAGTGAGGTGATCAAACAGAATGATTCACATACAGCTTTCTACTGTACTGCTGCGGTTACACTTGTCACTTTAAAGTGATTTATTAGACCCCATTATAAAAAAATATATTGTATAAGAGACCTGAAAATGGTCTGCATATTTTTTTTTTCACTTCTCTCCATGTAAGTGTTTTTTGTGTCCCTGAGATCACATAGTAAATTGAGAATCCAAGTGTAACCACAGCTGATGGCTGTGTGTCCATCTCTCACTCAGCTTCATTTCAGTGCTTTTTGTTAAATGTCCTGGGTGGTGATGTTGCTTCATGCAATGTCTACATGTAATCTTCAGTGCAGTCTTTACTTTGCCAACGATTAAACCCAAAATTAAATTATAAAAAGATCCCTTCATTTTTTCTGTTATGCTCTCTTCTCTTCTCTTCTCTTCTCTTCTCTTCTCCTTTCTTGTTCTTTTGATCATGCTCTCCTTCAGGACCCCACGGTTTTCAAGAGCGTCTCGCAGCCAGCCAGGAGGCCATGAAGAACAAGAATGTGGTGAATTTGGGCGCCATTCGACAGGGCATGAAACGCTTTCAGTTCCTCCTGAATTGCTGTGAACCGGGAACCATACCTGACGCCTCCATCCTCGCTGCTGCTCTGGATCTGGTATGTTTCAGAATCCAGTCCTTCCATTTTGCATCAGTGTAAACACGTCCCCTTAGGCAGTTTTATTAAGGTTACTGTACTTTCTGGTTTTTCCAGGAAGCTCCAGTAGTGGCCCGGGCCTCTCTCTTCCTTGAATGCGCACGATTTGTCCACCGCTGCAACCGTGGCAACTGGCCAGAGTGGATGAAGGGCCACCATGTAAATATCACCAAGAGAGGCCTGTCCAGGGGCCGATCCCCTGTTGTGGGCAACAAAAGAAACCAGAAACTCCAGTGGAACGCTGCCAAACATTTCTGCCAGTGGGGAGACGTAAGTTAAAGATTTCTCAAATTTCTCTGATCTGCTTTTCATCCATCAATTTAAGATATGACTTCACTAAGTGTTGTCATGTGTTTCCTTTTGTGTTTTATCCACTAAGGCAATCGGCACAAGGCTCAGCGAACTCTGTCACTCTGACAGCGAAAGTCCTGCAAATATCCTGGGTTACATTTTTGATGAAGAGACCAAACGGAGAATGAGAAAAGAAGACGAGGAAGAAGATTATTTAGATGACAGTAAGTGAGAGTTTTGTGGATATACCTTTAAAAAATATAAATCTTTTACTATATTCAATTAATTTGTCAGTTCCTACTAAACTAATTTAAGATTTTGCACAAATGTTTTTTAGATTTTGTTTTTTTAAGTTTCTTTGACAAAAAAAATTCTGAACTCAAGGTCACTTACTAGCTCTTTCTGGTACGTTCAGCCACTTCTAATCGTCTTCCTCAGTAGACTGTGTTAGCTATATAGTACTAGTAGTATGGGACTTTGCAAACTCCATCTGTTCAGGACGACGAAGACGCAGTTGAAAGCTATGGAAAAAGCTAGTAAGTGGACCTTGAGTCACCATGTCAACAATTTCCAAGGTCAAGAATTAACTTTCAAGGTCAATGTTTTACTTTTTAAATCTGTTTAACTATTACATCATTGTTTTATATTTGTTTTGTACATCTTCTATAAGGTGACAACACAAAAAACATTTTAATGATTTTAATTTTAATATCAATTCTCACCCCAAAGACACAGTCAACCCTACGAAATGTGGCTGCCCCTTTGCTCTCAAGATGGCTGCCTGCCAGCTGCTGTTGGAAATCACCACTTTCCTACGAGAAACCTTTCCGTGCTTACCACGCCCACGCACTGAACCACTCGTGGTCAGTAGTCAAATCAAAAAATATTTGCATTCAGTGTCTGTATTGTCCAGCTTTCAAGCAGTCATTAAAACTGATGAAATTTAAAGCTTCTGTGAGGAAGTTTGGTCATTGCATAAGTACATACTTTAAGAAATAAGACATTAAATGTGTTTGTATCAATAATATGCAATGTCAAATTTCCCGGAAACTTAAAATACCTGTAGGATCTGGATAGCTGCCGCCTGCGTCTGGACCCGGAGCTCGGCCGCCACCGCTACGAGAGAAAGATCAGCTTTGCGGGCATCCTTGATGACGAGGACGGACACGACTCACTCAACAGCAGCAGCCATACACTGAAATCTGACACCACATGCGATGACAAGAAGACGCAGGAAGCTCAAGGTTAGATCTGGTGTCGTACAGACTAGGCCATTTGGTTTATCTTGTCCCTGTCTTCTTATTAATATTATAAATAATTTAGATGATCTCCCCCCACTTCCCTCCTCTCCAGCACCCATCCGTAAGATTCGTATCGGAGGCTCACGGCTGCTTCAGATCAAAGGGGCTCGCAGTTTCCGTGTAAAGAAAGGGGGCTCCCTGTCTTCCATACGCCGAGCGGGGAGCCTCAAGAGCACCAAGCTATCACGGCAGGACTCTGAGTCGGAGAACGAAGAAGGGCTCCTATCACAAACACACAGCAGGGATACTGTTACTGACATAGGTTAGACATATGATTTTGTTTCATTAACCTTTGCCATCTGTAATGAAGTTGCACACATTAAAAGAAACTTATATAATGTTTATAATATGAATAAGTTGTATTAAACACATATGTCTGGTGTAGTGTAGTGTGTAGTTTGACATTAGCAAATCATTGCCACATTAGTTTTTAAACAAGACTACTTACATTGTATTTTATTTACCTTATTTGCTATTGGGATTTTATGGACTTTACAGCACAAAATTACACATTTTTTAGCTCTGAATAAAGTGAGGGCACTATTTTCCAATTGAAAACCAAGCTAAAACGATATTTGTTGTCATGGTAGGCCATTTAAAGAAGCCAAATACCCTGTATAATATTTTAAAATTGCATAGAAATCTGATTCTGATTCTGATTCTGATTCTGAAAACCAATTTAATGCAAAAATGTAGACTTATGAGTTGAGAGACATTTACACTTTACACTTTAGGAGTCTAATTTGTTTGGTTTACTAATCCCAAGGTGTCACAATTAATTCAGTTATGTTTCCGGCACGCGCCACATCCACATCTTAACATTTCTCTCTTACATTTGCATGTTCTTGTTTCCCCCTGCAGGCAGCCCATTTAGCACAAGTGAACCCAGCATAGAACCAGAGGGCCAGGGCTCAGGAGGAGCAGAGGACAACTACCACCGCAACATGTCCTGGCTCCATGTACGTCCTTTAATACATGTGGAAGTGTATGCGTGTATACGGCCTACATACTGACTGCCCCCCTCTCTCTCGGCACAGATTATGATCTTGCTGTGCAACCAGCAGAGTTTCATCTGCACCCACATAGACTTCTGCCACCCACGCTGCTACCAGCACCACAGCCGCTCCTGTGCCCGTCTGGTCCGCGCCATCAAGCTTGTATACGGCGAGACGGTGGACAGCCTGAGAGAGGACAGCACCCCCTCTAGTAACATTGGTACACGTGCCAAGAAGAATAAAGAGGTGGGTTTCACAAGCTATTTATTTAGTTTTAAACCTTGTTTTTTGTGGTGGTTTATGAAAGTCTCTGTGCCTTCAGTGTTCAGACAAGTCTTGCCTGAGGACCCCGTCCATGAAGAGAAGACCCACTGATTCCAACACAGAAGGGAAGAAGGATACCGGGATGCTCAAGTACATACGCAACCAGGTAAAGTAGTTGTAAGAGTTAATTATTCAGATTCTTAAAATAATGGCTGAAGTCAGAGGAGGAAATTACAATTTATCAATTCCTTCTTCTTCCATGTCCCATATATTAATTTGTGAAACGTCCTTTAAACTTTGACAGGATGAGTTTGTTCGTCGTAGAGATTTAAGTGTATCCCAGTCTTTCCTTGGGTGTGTGATTTACTCTCTTCAATTTAAAGAGGGAAAAGGCATTAGGAATACTAGTTCTGGCACACTTTCTGCCATCCATCTATTACGTCATGCTTGAAAAAAATGGAAAAGATGCACCTTATGATCTTGGTATAAGTAACAAAAAACATTGCACAGTGCATGTTTTGCAAAGTGACACTGATTTTTCAAAATATTTCATAATATGTTAAATATATTTCTTTCAGGTGATGAGCTTGTCACCAGCTCCTCTTTCGCTGCTGATCAAGGCAGCTCCCATCCTAACTGACGACATGTATGGAGACGTCCAGCCCGCAGCCTGGGAACTCTTGCTCAGTGTGGATGAACATATGGCAGCTGCTGCTGGTGAGTCGGCCATCAGGCTGTGCATCAGTGATCTGTTTGTGTCCTCTGTAGGTTGTTGTGCCCTTCAGAGTTCATTAGATGATGAAAGCATACATGAGGTACTTTATTTTGTTAAAATAAAAAATACCATTTAACTTAAGTTAGTTTTACTCATGGAGTGTAAAACATTTTGTCCTAGATATTCAGATGTTTTATATTCTAACACTTGCCATTTTATTTCTCTCCTGCCCTTTCCATCTCTTCCTCTTTCTGCCCTCTTTACTCTTTACTTTTTTATTTCTGTCTCTCCTCATTCCTCCCCCCACCGCCCTCTCTGTATCCCCTCCAGCTGCCATGTTCCTCCTGTGTGCGGTAAAGGTCCCCGACGCGGTGACCGAAATGATGAGGGCAGAGTTCCATCACCAGGAGGCCTGCCAGCGCATCAACTCCATTCTGAAGTTTTATACGCTGTGGCGTTTCCGCTACCAGGTGTGGCCTCGCATGGAGGAAGGAGCCCAGCAGATCTTTAAGGTACAGAGTAATAATGGTGTCATATTTTGTATTTAACCCCAAAGTGAACGGTTTGTTTACACTTCCACTAATAATTGGATCTATGTTGTTAGCTCAGATTGCCTAGATATTTAATTTAGAACATATCGTGTCACGAAACTAAGCTACTTTGACCAACTTTTTTCTATATTTGTTGTTTCAGATCCCTCCACCCAGCATCAACTTCACCCTACCATCCCCTATACTGGGCATGCCATGTGTCCCCATATTTGACCCCCCCTGGGTGCCCCAGAACACAGGCAGCGTCCAGGACCCAATCAATGAAGACCAGTCTGTAAGTCTGAGCCCCCGTTCACATTTTGTAATAAACACTTTCAAAAATAGCTATGAGATTTTATTTTTAGTAGTATTAAACATTTTGAATCACTTTTAATATGTGGTTTATCCATTTTATGTGATTCATACTGACTTTCAAAAGCACCTGTGGCTGTGACTTGACAAACAAACTGACCAGGGTTGGGTAGTCAGGTTTCATTCAGATTAAAAAACTAAAAGGGCCATTTACCCCCCCCAAAAAACCCTGATTTTATCACTTACCTAAAGTGCTATCTAGCCATGCAGATTGTTTTTATTTTATTTAATTTGTCCAGGTTTTGAGATATTGAGATTATCCATAAAACAGCAGAAGTAGGGACTCTGTTTCTAGAAAGACACATTGCCGTTATTTTTAGACATGCAAGTGGCGCAGCTCTATGGATGACAGTATGGGTCAACATTTTATGTATTGTTGTTAAATTTGGAACAAACATTAATGGTTTCCAAGATGAATCCTACTGATTTTGGTGATTCCTGACTTTTTAGCTCTAGTACCACCATTAGGCTAACATTTGGGTTACATTTCAAGTGAAACGTCTCCACAACTAATTTATGGCCACAATTTTGACCTGATAATTAAATGTTATATTTTGGTTAATGGCCAAATCCTGGCAAAAGTAAAGACATTCCCATCAGCCTCAGCTGCTACTTTGCATTTAGTTTTAGCATTTGTTAGCATAAGATGGTGACTATGGTGTATAACGTGTTAGCATTTGACACAAAGCATAAGTAAGCTTAAGTACAGTACTGTGGACTGTGGAGGTTCACACAAATATCTCAAAAGGTGGTCAAACTAAATCTAAACTATCAGGATGGTTATATATAAGTGAGAAAATGGGTTTTTTTTCTTAATTTAGGTGAACCGACCCGTTGAATGAAAATGTAAAACTGATAAATGTTCATGTTAAGAAGGTCTGTTTTTAATAGTGGGCATCTTATTTTGAAATTTTGAGTCCTGCTTTACACCACAACATACCAAAAGCAGACACAATGCTCTTTAGACTGCTTTGAAATACATTTGTTATTGCTCTGCAAGTGTAATGTGGACAACTGCACCAAGAAATCTGCAAGTTTAAGAAAAGATACATTTTCAAGGTTAGAGTGGTCTTTTAAAGTGGTAAAACAGATTTCTTGGTGTTTCCTTTTACTTTTTTGTCTTTTTTTGTTAAGAAGCATGATTATCAAAATATGTTTAATAGATTTTGATGACGACCTGCGAGCACCTGTTTCTATAATTTATCTATCGACTGTCTTTGTTTTTAGTACTCCACATTAATTCAGTCAGTCCATACCATAGTAAGTTGGTATTTCTGTCCGGATGTTTGTGCTGATGCATCTTGTTACCTCAGATCATTAATGACAGGCGGGAAAATTTTATCCATTGAGTTTTTAATTTTTAATTTTTTTATTTTTAGCCCATTGGGAGCTGTAGGTTTTCATCATGGATCAGAAGCTGGGGAAGTTTCATGGGTCATTTCAGATAGTTGCATCTTGATCAGTGAAACACACCACACTCAAAAAGTGTTCTAGCACTTGCTCTGATTGTCAGAACAAAAATAACAGCATGCATCGGACACTTAGACATTTTGTGTGTGTTGTGCTGTTTATGCATGGTCATTGGATGAGAATGACTTTGCTGTGTATGTTTTTCATATCATGCGCTCAGCCTATTTGGATATGTATATGTATGAGCACTCGTGTGAATGCTGTGAGGCATTTACTGTACACAAGATACAGTAAATTCTCCAAATTCCAGTCTGAATACATTTATTTGTGTCACAATTTGTCATGATTGAAATCTTTCCTATTTGATAGCATTGGAGCATGAGATCAATGTGCTGGAGGAGAGTTACTGTATTAATGTGTTGTCCGGTCATTTTACATTACAAAATGCTCCTCAGATGTAACCGTAAGCCTAGAATAGCCGTGCACACACGTTCCTGAAAGATTTAAACTCTCAAATTTGTATTAATTTTGTGCATTCCCTCATTCTGAATCCTCTGTATGTCTGCACCTGCTGTTCTTCCTGTGTGCTGTTTGATCCAACGCCCACCCTCCATGCTCACCCTGTCCAGAAATCCTTCTCGGCGCGGGCGGTGTCGCGTTCCCACCAGCGGGCCGAGCACATCCTGAAGAACCTGCAGCAGGAGGAAGAGAAGCGGCGTCTGGGCCGCGAGGCCAGCATTATTACGGCCATCCCGGCGGCTCAAGAGGCCTGCTACGAGCCCACATGCAGCCCCCCGCCTGAGCAAGAGGAAGAAGGTGGGGCTGCCAGGCACATACAGATTATATTATACTTATAAATACACAGGTTTGATGGGAATTGGCAAGCTGCTGACAGCCCTGTGCCCTGATAGCATGTTGTTTTTCCTGTTTCTGTTCTGGTCGTGTTGGACATTGATCCCGCCAGCAGAAGAAGTGGTGAACCTGGCATCACGCCGTCTGTCAGTCAGCCCCTCCTGTGCCTCCAGTAACTCCCACAGGAACTACTCTTTCCGTCGGGGCTCAGTGTGGTCTGTTCGCTCATTGGCCAGCGCTGAAGGTATGAAAATCTCTGACAGTGACTTTTTTTTGTAAATCTAGTCTCCCTTAACAACCACTAAGAAGTGTTATTTTTTCACTTTTTTCTAGATGAAGAAAACACAACAGAACACACTCCTACTCACCACATGTTACAGCCGCCCCAAGCTGTCTTCCCAGCATGCATCTGTGCTGCAGTCCTACCTATAGTGCACCTCATGGAGGACGGGGAGGTTCGAGAAGATGGTGTGGCAGGTGGGTGTCATTGTACAAAAAAAACAGTTTTTTGCCTCAGTGTTGAAATAAAAGAGATACATTGCCCTTAATTAGATATTTTATCAGCACAGTATTGGAACAAAACATAAAAATATATATTGATAAATTGTCCTGTCCTTGTGTGGGACTGCACTCCAAACACAGTATACTGTACTTGCAAGTACAAATATTTCCTTCAATGTTTCTTCAGTGAGTGCTGTTGCCCAACAAATCCTTTGGAACTGCCTGATTGAAGATCCAGCTCTGGTTCTCCGTCACTTCCTGGAAAAACTGACAGTGAGCAACCGACAGGTAGGTGAACACCCGGAGAAACAAACAACGCTTGAGTGCACAACCTAAAGGAAATGTAAAATGTGACATGACTTGTATTCATTGTGTTGCTATGCCTGCCAGGATGAGCTGATGTACATGCTGAGGAAACTCCTGCTCAACATTGGAGATCTGCCGGCCCAGACCTCTCACATCCTCTTCAACTATCTGGTGGAACAACAGACTTTACTCATATCTTTATTTGTTATTCATCTTTAAAGTACTCTTTAAACTTTCAATTAACCATCGCTGCTCTCAATCAAATCTTCCTCTCCTAGGTGGGACTTATCATGTATTTTGTGCGGACTCCATGTGAGTGGGGAATGGACGCAATCTCGGCCACCCTGACCTTCCTGTGGGAGGTGGTGGGCTATGTGGAGGGTCTCTTCTTCAAGGACCTGAAGCAGACCATGAAGAAGGAGCAGTGTGAGGTCAAACTGCTGGTCACTGCATCCATGCCAGGTGAACTTACTGATGCTGCTTAACAATATCATTCCCCACTGACTCCTAAATGGAGACCTAGCTGAGGCCTAAATAATATTTATTTGTGCAGGAACCAAAACACTGGTGGTGCACGGTCAGAACGAATGTGACATCCCAACACAGCTTCCGGTTCATGAAGATACTCAGTTTGAAGCCCTGCTCAAGGTAAGGACACCTTTGGTGGAGGAAGTAGTCTGATCCTTTACTTAGGTTAAAGTACCAGTACAACAATGTATTTAAAAATACTCAAGTATAAAGAAAGAGTTTTACATTCAAAATCTTCAGTAAAAGTACAGAAGTATTCTCAGCAAAATGTAATTAAAGTATTGTAAAAGTAGTAGAGTAAGAAGTGTAAAGCAGCCTAAGATGGAAATACTCAAGTTATGATATTTTCTCTCCCCAAACCAGGAGTGTCTAGAATTCTTCAACATTCCTGAGGCCAGATCGGCACACTACTTCCTCATGGACAAACGATGGAACCTCATCCATTACAGCAAGGTAGACACATTAGGTTTTATTTTTAGCTGTTATTTTGAACTCTCTGGATTACTCTCCAACACTAATGTTGCTATCTTCCTTTTCCAGACATATGTAAGAGACATCTACCCCTTCCGAAGATCAGTCTCTCCCCAGCTCAACCTGGTCCACATGCTCCCTGAGAAAGGACAGGAGCTTATCCAGAAACAGGTAGGGAAGATTAAAAAATATTGCTTCTAAGGATCTATTAAATGAAATGATTAAACGAACACGCTAGAGTAATGTGGTAACATGGTACTTTTTCCCCATTCCTTTTCTCTCTATATTCTTCTTCTAGGTGTTTTCCCGTAAACTCGAGGAAGTTGGTCGGGTCCTCTTCCTCATCTCCCTCACACAACACATGCCAGCTGTGCACAAGCAATCCCACGTCTCCCTTCTGCAGGAAGACCTACTCCGCCTGCCGTCCTTCCCTCGAACTGCCATCGATGCAGAGTTCTCGCTGTTCAACGAGCCACAAGGTGACGCTGACTCCAACTGTATGGATAGACACTTCATTCAATCACTCTAGTTGATATATTTTACCACCATCTCCTCCTCCCCCTCTCCCAGGTAAGGAGCTGTTTGGTTTGGATACCCTTCACAAGGTGCTGTGGATCAAGCTGCTGGAGGAAATGTTTCTGGGCATGCCCAGTGAGTACCCGTGGGGCGACGAGATGATGCTGTTCCTGAACGTCTTCAATGGGGCCCTGCTGCTGCACCCGGAGGACAGCGCCCTTCTCAGGCAGTACACAGCCACCGCCATCAACACCGCCGTTCACTTCAACCATCTGTTCTCCCTGAGCGGCTACCAGTTGATCCTGCCAACCATGCTGCAGGTAAAAGCGCCACAGAAGGTCGTTCATTAAAACTAACAAAAACAAAAAAAACGCCATCTTAGGTGGGAAGTAACAGTTAAATGTCATGATGTACCAAAGTATCTCTCTCTCACAAAATAATAATAATAATGATAGGAATGTATTTTTCTGCAACTGGATTTATTTATTTAACACCATTTTGTTGCTCATTTAGTTTCCCTTCCATGTGCAATAAAGTCAAACTTTACATCAAACACATTTTTTTTTGAGCCAACAGTACAAACGTATTTAAGACAAAGGGGGCCTCCTCTTTTTGAATAGTATTGTGGGTAGAAATAAAAAAATCAAACATTGTATCCTGTTGCCTAGAGTATGTGTACACAAACATACTGTATGAAAGGGAGAAATACGATTCTGAATCTGTCCTCTCTGTATTGTTACATCAGGTCTATGCTGACTATGAGAGCGACCCTTTACTGAGGCAGGGCATCGAGTTCTGCTGCCGGCAGTTCTATGTTCTCCACCGCAAACCCTTCATCCTGCAGCTGTTTGCCAGTGTGGCTCCACTGCTGGAATTCACAGTAAGACTACAGACACACACACATTTTATTCCTTAATACACACATAACTTTTTATATTCCTGGATGTCTGCAATTTGTGAATTCAGCTTAAGTGGACTTCTCCTTTCTTCATCTCCCATCCCAGACCAGCACCAGCACTGGTCTGTCTAAAGGAGTGTCAGCTCAGTGTCTGTTTGACCTGCTGGTCTCTCTGGAGGGGGAGACCCATGACGCCCTGGATGCTCTGGAGCTGGTTAAGGCTGAAAAACCTCTACGCTCTCTGGGTAAACTGTCACTTTCACATACACATATTTTGGTCTTTATTGCTCGTAGTAGTGGACAATCACAAATGAATTTAATTTCATTTCGTCTATAGAATGCTCCTGAATATCTTGCTACTGTCAGTGCAATGTATGTGCTTGAGCTGTAGAAACAAAACAAAACTGTATTTCCTTGTTGCAGATTTTTGTTATGGTAATGAAGACTTGGCATTTTCCATCAGCGAGGCCATTAAGCTGTGTGTCACTGTGGTCGCCTACGCCCCTGAATCCTTTAGAAGGTATGGAAACATATCGAGGATTATCTTTCCCCTCTCTGCCCTTCTCTGTTGTCTAACATGCGTCTCTCCAGTCTCCAGATGCTAATGGTACTGGAGGCCTTGGTCCCCTGCCACCTCCAGAAGCTGAAGAGCAACACGGTGACAATGGAGTCAGCCTCGGCTGCCAGGGACGAGATCGCTGCCATCGCGGCTTTGGCCACATCCCTGCAGGCCCTCCTCTACAGCTCAGAGGCCCTCACAAGGTCTGACTGATGCAACAGAGAAAACAATAAAACAAGTCTGGATTTTTGGGCTTGAGAGCCCGTGTTTTTGTGCACAGGGATGCCATGTCCTTTTAGTTGCTAACCATCCTCTTCATTTTATCATTCACAGGCCCATGACCGCCCCCCAGATGTCCCGCTGTGATCAGGGCCATAAGGGGGGCACTACAGCTAACCATGCCATGTCAGGAGGTGTCAACACCAGGTCAGGACTATAACATGATCAATTGTAGGCTACAATGCAAGTGGAGTCTGGAGTCTGACAGACGAGACTGAGGTCCTGTTTGTATGCATGTGTCTGTGCCCAGGGACAACCTCCACCTGCTGGAGGAGGGCCAGGGAATGCCGAGGGAGGAGCTTGACGAGCGCATTGCCAGGGAGGAGTTCCGCCGGCCACGGGAGTCCCTGTTAAACATCTGCACAGAGTTTTACAAGCACTGCGGACCGCGACTCAAAATCCTACAGAACGTCGCCGGTGAGCCGCGGGTCACGGCCCTGGAGCTGCTGGACATCAAGTCCCACATGAGGTGATTCACTCATGAAAGATTTCTGTCATCAGATTCATTGATAAAAGTTTGTAAGTTAATTGTTCTCTTCCTGCAAGTTGCTCAAAAGCAAGGAAGAGTGTGAATCAACTAAAAGTTTTTTTCACTGCTGGTCATATGCAGCCTGAAAAGGGGATGGATGTGTTGATGTAATTCTTTTTTCAGGACACAAGATCTGAAAATGGATTTTCAAATGAAGCAGTGCAGGTGTAAATGGAATAGTAACACTTTAGAATTATATTTTTCATGGATTTTTGTGAACATTGCAGTACACTTGTCATGAGGAAAACATAAAAATACCTTATCTAGTGCTACTGAGCTGCACTGAAGCTGCACTGTATGTGTCTCTGTCCCAGGCTGGCAGAAATCGCCCATGCCCTGCTGAAGCTGGCACCCTATGACACCCTGACCATGGAGAGCCGAGGGCTGCGGCGCTACATCATGGAGATGCTGCCCATCACCGACTGGTCGTCAGAGGCCGTCCGCCCCGCCCTCATCCTCATCCTCAAGAGGCTGGACCGCATGTTCAACAAGATCCACAAGATGCCCACGCTCAGGTGCGCACGCCCACAGGCATTATGCACCAGGTCTGTTGAATACGATCACTTCTTACTGTCTCCCTGTGAGTGTATCGTGCTGTGCCGGTGCCGTGGTGTGTACAGTAGATAGACGGCTTCTTGGCACTGTCCTTTGTACTGCTGCCTTCGTGGGTGCTGTACCGTAAGTGCTGCTGTGGTGTGTTTTTGTGCAGATACACGTAAGCGTGTGTGTGCGAGAGGCGCTAAATGCAAGGATGTGTGTACTAACTATGGATCACCAGCAGTGTTCCCTCCAAGCCAGTGTTCAGTCTTGTGTCATGAAAGATGATTCAGATTTTACTTTGAGGCAAACACCACTGTTGCAGATTCAGCTGGTAATGACTGCAGGCATGAATGCAGTCAAAGGTGTTTTTTGTTAACTAATTTAAACACACATTTTTACTACTTCACACTAACATTACTCATTCAGAGATTTGATTACAGTAACACTGCTCATAATAATAGTAATATTTGTGTTTCATACATAAAATACAGCTCAAATAACATTACATAAAATTGAATAAATCTAAATGTAATTGAAACAATGGACATTTAATTTACATTTAACCAAATAAACTAAAGCTAAAATGAAAACACACAAACGGAAAGGATTTTTTTAAGTCTTAAAATGTTTCTTAAAGGAAATACAAGATATTAATGGAAAAGGCTATTCCACAGTTTACGTCTAAGGTGGCCTCTCAATACTACTTTGTCGTAACTGTTGATATATTTAATGCTATAATACTGGTCAGGGTATAGAAGGAGAGACAATGAACTAAATAAAACGATATTAACATGTTCAAATACATCGAAATGCAGTACAAATACACCCTCGGAGCAGAAGGTGCAAACCTCCTTCATGACATTAGGACGACTGACTCAGAGGTAACTGTGTTGGGATGTCACTTCACACCAGTATCTGTTGTTGTGTTTAGCTGGCTATGTTCGTGAGCTTTGCTGTATACTGTATTTGCTGTCAGTATGGCCTTTATTTCAGTCATAAAGGTGATGATTGTGTGACGGGGAATATTAATAAAGTGGTAAGTGTTCCACCAGTATCACTCTCAGCATATGATGGTTTGCTCCTCCGTTCTTTGTAGATTTGATACATTTAATATTAATCTTATGCCACATTCAAGTCATTGGAAAAGAAGCCGATGAGATGGAAATAAGATCGTTTGGCTTTTCACAGCCAACATCTTGAATTTCTTTTTCATCCCACATGACATGAATGAGGCATTTGTGTTTGGACACTCTTTTTAATATCATGACAATGTGCTTTTGTTTGGTTGCGGGGGTGGTCTTGTTCTGGGTGTGTGTTCTCCAGGAGACAAGTGGAGTGGGAGGCAGCCAGCAGCCTGATCGAGGGGATCTGCCTGACCCTGCAGCGACAGCCAATCATCTCTTTCCTCCCACACCTTCGCTCGCTGATCAACGTCTGTGTCAACCTGGTACGGAGACACACTCAAGACAACCCAAATCCTTCTGTGTGATGACTGTTCTTTGAGTGTTTGTATGTGTGTGTTGTCAGGTGATGGGTGTGGTTGGTCCGTCCAGCGTGGCAGATGGGCTTCCTCTTCTCCACCTCAGCCCCTACCTGTCCCCTCCGCTGCCCTTCAGCACAGCAGTGGTCCGACTGGTTGCCTTGCAGATTCAAGTAGGTCATCTGTCTCCTCAATCAGAAACACTGACTGTACATTGCCTAATTTTTTATTTCCTCCATTTGTTTAGGCCTTGAAGGAGGACTTTCCTCTCAGCCATGTGATCTCACCCTTCACCAATCAGGAGAGACGAGAGGGGATGCTACTCAACCTGCTCATTCCCTTTGTGCTCACTGTGGGCTCTGGGAGCAAAGGTTAGATTAAAGGCTTTATGTGATAAGAAACAGTCCCAAAAAGTCAACTTGGTAAACCAAAAAAATACCTGCAGGTGGTCAATAAGACGGTGGAAAAAATAAATGTAGATGCATTTGCTTGCTAGCTTGTTTGTATTTTAATGTCCCTTTGCAGATAGCCCCCACCTGGAGCAGCCCGAGATCTTTCTGCTCCTCCAGACGGTCATCAACATTCTCCTGCCTCCCCGGATCATCTCCACCTCCCGCACCAAGAACTTCATGCTGGACGCTTCTCCGGCTCACTGCTCCACCCCAGGCGACACAGGGAAGGATCTGCGCAGAGAGGGGTTAGCCGAGTCTACCAGCCAGGCTGCATATCTGGGTACGACTGAGAAAACGACTGCATTTTGTAGCTCCTTTCGTTCCTGGCACTTCTCATCCTCTTTCCTCCTTCCTTTCCTCTGCAGCTCTGAAGGTGGTGCTGGTTTGCTTTGAGCGCTCGTTGGGGAACCAGTGGTACCGGCTGAGCCTGCAGGTGAAAGAGATGGCTCTGAGAAAGGTGGGCGGCTTGGCCTTCTGGGACTTCATTGACTTCATTGTGAGAACCCGTATCCCTATCTTTGTCTTGCTGAGACCCTTCATACAGTGCAAGGTAAACAATCAGTGACTCTCTTAGATGTGTGTGCATGTGTGTACTATTTGCCTGTGTCTTTTTGTCTTCTTTACTGGTCCACATATGTTTATGTTTGTCTAGTTGTTGACCCAGCCTGCTGACTCCCAGGAAGAGATCACAGCACGTCACCACATCGCTGACCAGCTGGAGCGACGCTTCATCCCGCGACCCCTTTGCAAGAGCTCATTGTTTGCGGAGTTTAACAATGAACTCAAGATCCTCAAGGAGGCTGTGCACAGCGGCTCTGGTCAGACACTTACAATACTGGAACAAAAACTTCCATTTCTTATATTTTTAACACTGAATTCTTTTTTTAATGTAATGAATGTTAACTTTTGACTGTTGAATGTTGACTATTTAAGCCTGTGTTTCTGTTTGACCTGCCCAAACCCAACAGCCTACCAGGGCAAGACATCCATCAGCACGGTGGGCACCTCTACATCAGCCTATCGCCTCAGTTTGGCAACAATGTCGCGCTCCAACACCGGCACAGGCACGGTTTGGGAGCAGGACAGCCAACCATCACGCCAGCCCTCCCAAGACACACTCAGCCGCACTGATGAGGATGACGAAGAGAGTCAGAAACATTCCCTTTTTTTTTTAATTTTCTTCCACGTCTGACATTTGCTGAAATTCAAACTGAACTCCGTCCTTCTCCCCCCAGATGACTCCATGAGTATCCCAAGCGTGGTGAGCGAGCACGAGGCCTTCTTGCCCAGGGTGATAGCACAGCGGCGTTTCTCCAGCCACGCCACCGGCTCAGCCACGTTGCAACCCGAGGTCCCCCGCACCACCATGCTGCCCAGCCACAGGTAACATTCCCGGCATACAAATACACACTGAAACGCACACAAGCATGTATTGCAAACAAGCATGAAGTTTAACTTTTCTTCAAGTGTAGTTTCATTTATGGACAGGAAGAGTTTTGGGTATGTACGCCACTGGGGTTGAACTCAACCAATGAGATTGTTTCTGTTTCCAGAGCAGCTCTGCCTTCAAGAATTGTTCATGTATGATTCAAATCTTTATGAAATATGTAGAATTAACATTTTGAAAAGGATCAACCAGTCATATCCCACAACCAGTCATTTTTTTCTGTATATCTCTGTTGATTTATGATGTTTTTTATTCAACAGTCTCAGAGCAGCATTGTGAAGTAGCTAAGACTCAGTATCTTGGTAAGAACGAAGTTGTGGTCAGAGCCCTGGCTTCCTGTCCCACTCTCGGGGCTCAGGGATTTGACGAATCTTGACTACACTCCCTAAACTCCCTATTCTCCCCCTTCGCCCCCCTTTTCACAGTGAACCCAATGTGCTAGATGAGTCCCAGGGCCTTCTGCAGGAGGGTAACCTCTCTAGGTACAGTGGCCCTCTCTCTGTGTGTGTCCCATTGGTGCGTTCTTGCATCTGTCCGCCAGTGGGAGGGGCATCGCCTCGGGACGGCCTCCTCTATTGGCCGCCTCGCCGTTCACTCATCCACATCCACACAAATCGCCCACCCCCTCACTTACCTGTCTATCTCTTTCTGTGTGGGTTCAGTGTGCCGTGTCTCTGTCCCCTACCTCCCTACTTCCTCTTGACTCCACACTGACCCTCATCTTCTCAGCTCATCTGCTGTGCTATCCTAACCAGGCCCCTCCCCCCCATAAAAAAGAAAAAAAAGAAAAGAGGGCCCCTTCAAGCCACGGGGGCCAGGGAGCTCTGCCTCTGTTTCTCCTCTGTTAGCTGTGGGTCTTTACAGTTGATGTGCCATCACCAAAGTCAGCCTCTCTCCCATTGGTGCCATGGTGTTTCATACTGTTTCTGTGTCTATCAGGCTTCTCGCTGATCAAATTGGGCGTCCTACTCTGGATACCAATCTGTAGGGGCAAGGGGGAACTGGGGTGGCAACCATAATAATAAATGGACACTTTTGTTGTTTTCTTTGTCCAGTTTTGTCCATTATAGCTTTTAAGAACAATCTGATTTAGCCCTGTTTCATGGTTCGATGACAAAATAACTTTAAAGGTGTAACATTTAAAAAAGCGGGTAGGAGATTTGAAATGTATGAAGAGCTTATTTCAAAAAACTAGAAGTCACACAAGTTTCTTTTGTCAGTGTTGCTGCTCCAGCCCCTATTATCCCCTGTTGTGTTTTCAGTGTATGAATCATGGCAGTACTGTTTTCTTCTGCACTGTGATGTCTTGTAACATACTGTGTGTGTCGTGTAGTGAGCGAATGGTAGAATAGCAGCGACATCTTATTGTGGTCAAAGATGTGGTCAGTAAGCGAGCACTGCTGGGGATGCGGTGGTGTTTTGGTCCCTTCATGGTGAATGTATTTCTGTGTGTCTGTGTGTCTGTGTGTGTGTGTGTGTCCATATGATTGGTTGTACCAGGGTTGCCAGTGTGCAGAGTGAACCAGGCCAGCAGAACCTTCTGATCCAGCCTCCGTTAGGAAGAAAACGAGGCCTCAGACAGGTGTGGACATCATCTTTGTCTTTTATCTTTTTTTAATTTAACACACACAGAAGGATAATGTGGATAAATAGGCCTAATGTGATGGTAATAAATATGAGCAATTTTATAGAATATCAGAAAATAGAAATAGGAGTTTTCACTCATTGGATCATGATTAAAAAGATGCATTTTTAAACAAATTAGGAAAAGAAATCCTACAGATTTGTTATTGTAACGCTATCAGATGTAAGTAATCACACATAGTAGGCTTTATAAATAAAAATAAAGTAAATTTAATACCTTTTGCATGCATAAATAAATAGATCAATAGATTCTAAAAGACTTTATAGTTTTCATAAAAATGCATGAATGGAAACCCGCTGATACTCCACTATTCGCTCTAAATTGTGACTTTCCTGCAGCTGCGACGCCCCCTGCTGTCCATCCCAAAGAATGAACCCCGTGGTCGATCCGGAGCGAGGCTCTCTACAACCCGCAGGAGCATCCAGCCCAAGAACAAACCACTGGGTAACAGCACACGTGCCTTTGTTTGTTGTGTGTGTGTGTGTGTGTGTGTGTGTGTGTGTGTGTGTGTGTGTGTGTGTGTGTGTGTGTGCGTGTGCGTGCTAGTGTTGGTGACTGAATGTGAGTGTATGTTAAAATGAAAAAAACAAACAAACAGAAAAATGGCCAGACTTACCCTGCACTTCAGATCAAGCACACAAGCCGAATCTATACAGTTTAATTCTGTTTAAACACAATTCTACAATTAAAAATACTCTATTTAATGTCTGTGTGCTGACTTGAACTGACCCATCTTCCCCATTCACAACCTCTGTCTTTGTTCCAATGCTGTTTGTTGTTCCACCTGTCACCAGACTGACTCTTCTCACTCTTCTGTCTCATGCCTTTTGTTTCTAAATAAAGAAACTTTATTGGACTGTGAAGGTGAGACATAACCCTTAACCCTTCCTCTCCACCCTGCAACGGCCCGCCCCTTTTATCTGCAACCTCACCCAATAGGACGCTCTGCATGTCTGTCTTGCATCCCCTCCCGGTCCTTGCCTTACCCTCCCTCCCTCCCTCCCTGTTTTGTCCTTGCCTCCACTCTCTTTGGTGGTGCTGATGTTTTAGCGAGTCGCTAGCTGGCGCCTCTGGTTTGACCAGGTGCGCATGCATGTGTGCCCCACAGCGCATGGAGACCAAAAGAGGTCAGTGACCTTTACAGAGAATCAAGGCCAGCAGCCGTCTACTCCCAGCGCTATGGAGCCTCCAGGTGAGGACAGAAAGGCCAGTCCTGCCCTTTCAAAGTCCCCAACACTGGAAGTGCCCTCTACCTCGTCAGCCACGGTCACTGCCGACCTGCACGGCCCTGCTAACACACAGGTAGGAGCAGCAGAGGGAGGACTGGAGCAGGGGTGGGTACGTAACTGTTGAAATAATACATTTGATCAAATTCTCACTACCTGCTGAAGTCTATGCATCCTTTTTATATATATCAATATTAAAGAATACAAAAATGACAGTAATTAAATAATGAATCTAAATTTTTCATAACAAATCCTTTTTATTTAATCCCAGCAGTTTTTACTACAAAACATTATTCAAGGTCCACTTTATTTTAAACAACAGTACCATTTTTTATCAAGTCTTTGTCTGTCAATCAACAGGACAGAGCCACAACAATGACATTCAATAATAATGAGCTGAGTTTAAACTAAATATTGGACAAATTTACATTGTACAATGTACATTTATATATATATATCTAAGCCGAAGATAAAGTAAGTATAAAGTAAATAGATGAGTTATGTCCTGTAAATGTGTTCAAGAGTTGGAGACATACACGTTCTTACAAAGTCGAAAGTACAGGAACAAAGTGTATTCTCACCCAGGTCCCTCCAGCCATAAGCAGCAAGGAGAAGAGAGAGCAGTGGAACCTCCGCAGCAACCTCTCCCCTCCCCCCTCCATCTCCCGCCCTTCCACCCCAACACCCCCATCCCGTACCTGCTCCCCGCTGCCCCTCTCCCGAACCTGCTCCCCTCTCCCCTTGTCTCGCACCTCCTCCCCTCTTCCTCCACCGCTCCCGGTGCTGGGCACAGCACCCGCCCCGGGCCCCCCGCCACCTCCACCGCTGCCACCGACCCCTCTCCTGCCTCCCCCGCCGCCGGGGCCGCACAGGATCAGAGAAAGCCCCGGGGATGAGGACACGACGGCTCTCCTGCCGCGCAGCGACACCCTGCTGCAGCTCAGCGAGGACGATGGCACAGAGAACCCTCTCCTCACCCCGCTGCTGTCCCATTCCTCGCCCCGCCGGTCGCCCCGCCGCTCACCCCTGCCCCTCTCCCCCGTCGACCTGGACCTGGACGAGTCCCACGTGTGAGAGGATTGTATTTTTCTATCTGTAGCCCAAGCCAAATGCCATACAGATACCTGCAGGGTACAAATAACAGGGAGGCTGCGCGGCACACATTTCTAAACATTTATGAGTAATAACAGAAAAGTGTACATTTAGATTTGACTGACAATCTAAAAGTACCTAGTTGGAAAGAAAGGGAATGTTCAGACAGGAGAAGTCTGTTTTTCCACACTAACCCCCTGCCTCTTCAAGTATGTCTACAACCCACTGACTTGATTTCATTTTCCCCCTCAGCTTTGCCCTGAAGCTAAGCTGCTCTCTCCTCTGTGTAGTTTAGTTTAGTTTTAACTTAAGTGTTCACTCCTAAAAAGGATCCTTCCTCTCTCTGTATCTTTTTAGTGTTGAATATCAACATGAAAATCATTACCTGTTCTTATGGCTACACACCCTGTGGGTTGAATGTATACTTCAGCAGCAATCTACCTTTGTCTCCTTTATCATAGAAATATGAAATCGTGTGATCAAAGATTTATTTTTTAATTATATTTTATGTTACACAAAATTATTAATGAAGGTAAATAATTATTAAAGATCAGAAATGGTTAATTGATTGATATTTAACTAATGAATGCGTCTAATAATTAAACGTTTAAGAGGTCTATCACAGAGAAATTTAAAAAAAAGGAGATATAACTTTTACATGTCTAAAGTGTTGCAAAGATTATAAAGGGATGCAGAACTTGTATAAATAGTATATTAAGAGCCATTCTAAAGCTATGGGTGAAATGAAGCTGATGATATACAGTAAATATACAACACAGTATATGTATATTAAACACTCTGTGATCAACAGGAGCAGGAGATGAGAGATTTTATATTTTAGAAGATTATTATTATTCAGTATGATGATAAAGCTGTAAAAATGTTCATGGAACAAGTCGAGTAGATTACAAATTCCCCACTTAAATCCAGTGCTACTCCAGTGTTTGTTTTTAAAGGGGAATTCCACTTTTTTCTTATCCAGACATGTTCAATTTGATTTAGTATTTCACATCTTTCATATTCCACATGATTAAATAAATTCAATGAGGGCTAAATTCAATCAGGGTGGGGAGAACCCATTTAAATTAAGTTTAGATGATCTTTGAATGCGTTTGGTCTGTCTTGTCATTTGATTTTATGTAGTTTTTTAGGTGCACTGGAAATTGTCCAGAAAAAGGAGGATTTAAACACCAAATCCACCACTGACTTGTTCAGCGAACATTTTAACGCAGTTCAGCGGCAGATAAACCAATCATTGTGCAATCATAATGTCAAACATATCCCACTAATTCTACAGTGTGTGTTGTGCTGCTCAGTGTCTAAACAGACTATTTTAAGTTTGACCAAAGACTGTATCTTTAGCTTGTGTTTCAGTGGTCTAAAATATGAATTCAGAAAAACATGTAACATTTACTCAGTCACTCGTCCTGATGTTGCAGCGCTGGTTTAGTTTGTGTGTCTGTGATGTTGTCAAACGCTCACAGACTCCTTTAATTGCAACTGTGATGAAGCGATGCAGTAGATGGCTGTTACCTCGTTGCTCATTCCATGCCTTAACAGAGAGATATTAACATATTAACGTCTGTCAATATACACATGTCTGTTTGTATTGAGTTTATTCTGTAAACCTGAAAAAGATGTTGCATATCTAAGATCATTTATTTTAAGATAAAACACACTTTTTGTTTGTAAAACTATCTTACCTTGCTTTCATGTAGAAGTCTGTTGCAGTCTATTAATGACTGATCATGTGACTGATTATAATGATGATGTTAAATCACATAGTGCAGGATCGATATGTGCCATAACCCACGCCAACGCACTGTGAGTGTTTTGTTATCGGCTGCTTCTCTCTACTGTGTGTCAGTGCTGTAATTTACGTTGTTTGTTTGGACTATTTGTGAAACTATTGTAATCATTTGGGTACATAGAGATTGTGTACTGTTTACGCATTATGCAGTGTGAATAGAGAGGAAATAATATTTACATTGTATTCTTAATAAAACACATATTACCCCCCTGTTTCTAGCTAATTTAAGACCCAAAATGTTTGAGAGTACGCCAGAGTAAAAGCAGTAAGTAAATGTTTCTGTAATGCATTCTTGTCCCGTCATGTCAGCTCAACACATTCTTAGTTTAATTTATTTTTTTAACACAATGCAAAACATCTATCTCAATCTATCTATCTCAAATCCATTAAACACACATTGAACCGTACATCACATTAAAGTCTTACAAAGAAATACAAAGAGGTTTGTAGTCAGAAGGCCATTGAACTGTTGAATCTAAGTTCCCTTTAAATGTACCGTGTCTGTGTCAAATTATGTCTTCTTTGTGCAAAGTTAGAATAAACGACAGTATATCAGAATATTTCTGGAATATCTAAATAAATGGATATTGTTTACAATGTTTTTCTGCTTTCTGTCCATTTATAACCATGGAGAAAACAACAAGTTATGGTTATTTAGTAAGTCAATAACAAAATGCTATTTTCAGTGTTATTCTTCTCTCAATCTCTTCCTCTTTATCTACTTTTTAGATTTTACTGACTCACTATCCACGAATGATGCTCTCAAAACTTTAAGTTTACGTCTCCCTGTGCAATGTGTTCTGTGTTATTTGTTTTGCATGGTCTTTTACTTTTTAAATCTTGTGTTTTACCTGTATTGACTTTGTGCTTTAATGGGAAGATCACACCTGTTGTTGAGCTTAGCTTAGCACAAACACTTATTATACACAAACATCAATTCAAGTCTAATATCAGTACGTAGCTAGCAAAGGTAAAGAACATATTTCATAGTAAGAACAGCTCGTTTAATGCATTCAAATAAACAGCTGTCGGTCTCCGTTGTCTTACTTTGAAAGGTTTTGCCGGAAACGTGTGTATGGTGTTGTGTCTGTCTTTACACTGTTGGAGCTGACCGCTGACACTGACCCGTATTTAGAAACATGTGTTTGCTGCCCTCCAGTGGTTGTAACGAAGAACTACAACACTACAATGAATCTGGTTTATTACAAAGATTCAACGTTATTTTATTGTCATTTACAACACAAAGGCTGTAAGATTAAATTCCGATAAAATTCCCTTTGTGCTACTTAAAACAATACTAATTAGACATAAAAGAATAAATATGAATTTGTTTGATGAATTGTTGAGGAATAATTGAACAATCTCAGCCTGAGGGAAGAAACCGTCTTTAAGTCAGTTATTATTTATATGTAAGAGTACAAGTCAATATTAGTGTCATTATTACAAATGACATATGTAGCAATAGTATTAGTAAAATATTAATTCATAAAGTTTCATATATTAATAATTTAAAGAACGATTTGAGGAGATTTTTGTTGCATTGTTTATATGCTGGTGGAGCGGACTGTTAACGAGGCCTTGACTAAGAGGAAGAGTATTTGCTGCCCTCCAGTGGCCGTAATGAGGAACTACATCAAAGTGATCAAGTTAAGTTAGAAATTCTAACATGACAACAATGCTAGAACTTCCGGTTACAGCTTTCAAAATAAATCTGAAAAAAAAAAACGATCAGAAATGAACAGAAATAGATTGTTCTTGTTCTTGTTTGTATATCGTACAATCGTGATATTGTGGTTGCACTTCAGATGTGTCTTAAGCTGCAACAAGTGATCATTTAACCAGTTTCTTTAGAAAAATGGACAAATGTACATTTCATTAAGATATTAGTTACATTAGTGGCATAATTGACAGTACTCAAGTTAAGTTGGAATTGAAAAATGTGACAAAGTGTGTGTAAGTTTAATTTAGCTGAGCTATAGCTGAATATTTTCATCCCATTAGCAGCCAGGAATTTTATAAAGTTTGTCATATGGATGCATTTAAGTCAGGGTAAAATGGCATTTATTTACAACTGAGTTATTAGTCCTTGTTAGTCAGATTATTTGAAACAGCAAACCACAGAATGTTTTTACTTTCACTTACTACATCCACAAGTTTCCTCTTTCCAGTTTTGTGATGCTGCCCTGCTAAAAACCTTGAGTCCCTCCTTGAATATTTGTGCTCGCTCCTCTTAACACCTTCATTAATGTGCTGTGTGTCCCTGTGTGTCCCTGTGTGTCCACAGGTCGACCTGCTCCCACACTAACATTAAGAGTCCTGCAACAAGACCTCCACTCCTCAAACTACAGCTCTGTCAGTGTCACCAACACCAACGGTACAGTCGCTGTTGGATGTGCAGCGCGAGTGCTCTCTGTGTCTAGAGTGATCACAGTAAGTCAATGTTCAGATGGTCTGGTGAATGTTTTCTCACAGATTTGCTCCTGATAGAGGTCTTTTATTGTCTTGTTGCACTCATCATCATTAGAGGTAACATGTAGCATCCTAAAAGCACAGATGTGTTCTCACAGCAGCCATGAATAAATGACTAATTCAGGTTTCTTCGTCTTTGTCTTTTCATAAATCCCTCAGCATGTCCCACAGGAACTGTGAAGAAAAAAAGAAAGACAAGACAATCAAACAGTAAGACTCTGCACTCACAACCAACTTCTCTCTATTGTGTTGTTTGCAAATTCAGTGAGCGAGGACTCACTCACTGATCCTTTCACTGCGAGGGGAGGGAGCTTTGAGCCCTCATTGGGTACTCTTCTAAGAATTGAATCTGATATAATGTATAATGGAAAAATATGAGTTGAACCTGACATTGTCTTTTTGCTGAAAATCCTCTTGCAAGTGTTGATTTAATGAGCTTATAGTTTTCTGGCAAGTCTAAAGCCAAACAATCCTCATGTGCTCCAGTAGTCATCTTCTGTCTACACTTCTGTCTATGCAGTCTTAATCACTACATTTCAGATTTTGGCAACACTCTGTTTCTCTAACTCATTCATGAATCCACAACAGATATTTACCAGCGTGTGTAAAGTGTGAAACGTGTACCAAATTTCCCAATCAGGTATGACTAGGGCAGCCTCTAATGCTTGTGGGGCTGCTACACACTCCTGTGCCGTAGGTGGCGACGTGCACCTGGAGGTTGTTTGTGATCCGCCAGTAAATCCAGAGAAGAAGAAGAGCCAGGTATTTCCTGCATGAGAGAAGTAAGTGTTGTTCAAACTTGTTCATTTCTTGCACAGTTAATGGTTTGGAGCTCATGTATGTTGCCCTTGAAGCTCAGATTGTGTCCTATTAGTGCAGATAATGTGTGCGTCAGGTTGTAGGCAGTGTTCATTCTCACTGCATTCATTAAACTATCTAGACCACATGTTCAGCTAATCCATGCAGCAGCTCCACAGGGTTGGAGGCCTTTGTTTGGCTGGTGGCTTAAGGACCAGAGATTGATTGATTGTCTTTCTTATATTGACCACACAATTTATTTACATTGAATAAAACAAACAAACAAACAATAGCATTTAGCACTGCCTCCTATTACGGTCTTTGAACTAGTGAGCAGCAAACATCATTGTCTGCATGCTTAGAGAATAACAGTGTGTGTACTGTACACTTAATGTGCTCTGCTTTGGTTCCTCGGAGCTCCGGCTGCGCTTTGTGACACTCTCAACTTGTTTTAACAAACTCCTCTGATGCAGGACCAGGCTGTTTGCCAGAGAATAGAGTCTGTCTTCTACGGTGGCCCTGAGGTGCAAATCACAACAGCAAATCAGAAAACACAACACAAAAAGAGAAAACACAACGGCAAATCTGAAAATTCAAACCACTAAATAAGGAAAATATTGTATTAATACGTCCATGTTAATGTGGGATACCTAAAAGAGGTAGAAACAGGGGTTCCAGTAGTCCATATCTATGTGTTTTCTGATTTGTCGTTGTGATTTGCACCTCAGGGCCACCGTAGTCTTCACCTCTTTGAAATTTAACTCTTCAATAGAAATCACTATTAAATTAGTTTATTTTCACAGAAATGAAAGAAATTCTGCAGCCAGCCACAGACTGTGGACCCTGAGGCATTTTTAAAATGGCTACTGCAGCATGTGTCTTCTCGGCCAGGATTGTGAATGTGATGATTATGAATATAAATGGAGCTCAACTTTTTCATCTGACTCTTTACTGTATTCTTTGCTACAGGGTTCCCAACCTGGGCCGGCCCCCACTGGGTCGCCAAGCTTCATAGGCTTAAACAGGTGCTAGAAAAGGATACACTTTTATTGTGGGTTTATTGTAGTTTTAATTCTAATATGAAATACCCATCAAATATGTCACCAAGCAGGGCTCGTCACTTTACTAAATGATATATATTAGAATGTGTCTATATTGCCATATATTAGTAGCAGGTCTGTACTAATCACCTCTCTCTTTTCTCTCTCTCTCTCTCTCTCTCTCTCTCTCTCTCTCTCTCTCTCTCTCTCTCTCTCTCTCCTGCCTCCAGGGTGTGCCAGCGAGTCGTGGGACGTGGACGCCGCCACAGAAGGACTTCAGTCTGTCCAGGCGTCACTTCCAGAGACAGTGAGTGAATTATTAGTATTAATATGTGATTTTTTTTCCTACATTATTGAAAAACTTTATTGGATTGTGCTGCATAATGTCTTATCTTGTCTGTACTAATCTCTCTCTCTCTCTCTCTCTCTCTCTCTCTCTCTCTCAGGTCCTGGTTTCTGGATCCCCCTCCCCTCCAATAGTCTTAGAAGTTTGGGAGGGGCCACCCGGTTGTTGTGATGTGTGTTGCCAGTGTAAACGCTCAATAAAATTATTTTAAAATCCATAACCCCCTGCTTCCATCTCTCCGGGAGGAGACACGGCCCCCTCCTCTCCCTCTGCAGCGGGGTGAGACTCCAGGAACCCAGCACCCAAAGTGCTGCCAGTAGTTTTTAATTCAGATTCAGATTATCTGATTAGTTGTTTTTGTTTGTCCATCACCTTAGAGTTTTCAAATAACTACAATCCTACCTGGAATCCAAACCACTGCTGTGTGTGGGCAAGGATTCAGTGACAAATGGTTGAGTCTGACCACTGCAGTTGCTGCGTATGCCACTAGGGGAGCTCTGACGTCATCAATTTCTTGCCAAAAAGGCACCTGTGGCGGCATCCGCCAACCCCTCCTCGGACTGGGACACGGAAAGCTTAAAACATTTGAGCAAAATTCCAGCCGCTCGTGGCTCTGTGTTCGATAACCCCCTGCTTTGATCTCTCCTGAGCTTCGGGAGGGGACAAGGCCCCCTCCCTCACCCACTGCCATGGGATCGATAGTCCAGGAACCGGCCGGGTGGTATTCAAACCAGCGGTTCCTCCACTGGCTGACCCTACAGTCACAAGACGAAGCCACCACGCCACCGAGCCCCCTTCGCACTAGAACCTGCTCTCTGGGCGCTTTTATTTCTTCACTTTGGGGCACTGGACTTTAAAATTCACTGAGCCTCATAAGGGAATCAAACCCATGTCATCAGAAGGGTCAATTAGCCTACTAACACACTGCACTATGTGTTCACAGACATTTCTTCCTTGTTTCTTAGAGGCTTTCAGTCTTCTTCTTCTCGGTGTTGAATTTCAAAAGTCACAATGTCAAAGGTTTGAACCCACAACCTCTGAACTTGCTTCCATCTTCCACATTGAGCTATAGGACCATCCTTTAACAGCACTGAGCTACAACTCAGGTTGGGAATTTGCTGCTTCGTAGTTGTATTTATTGTTCACATCACTGAGGAGAAACCTTTAAAAATCACCAAATGCAAGAGCTTGGATTTGAACCCTCAACCTCAGGTATCAGCCACATCAGCTACTGATCTTACTGAGCTATTCCTGCTGATTGGATTCTTTTTGTTAATTCTTTCATTTACTTTTACTACATTTAATGTAGGTTTTACACTGGACAGACAACCCTGGGGTTATATGAACTATAATGGAGATCAGGTACAACACATCTTCTTTGCTGCGGTGTCTTTATCTTTTTTATCTTTTCTACCAATGTACCTGGCTGCTATGACAACCCAATTTCAAGAATTAATAAAGTCTATCATTCCTGCACATTCATGGAGGTCACAGGTATTAGTGCTTTGAAAGAAAAAAACTCACCTGTGCAAATAGCTCAGTGAGATAAGTAGCTTATATTGATACTTGAGTTGGAAGGTTCAAATCCCAGACAACTTTTTCTGAAATCTTTAAGCGTTTACTTCAGCAACGTGAACAATAAATATAACAATGAACCAGTGACTATAACCCTCAGTTGTAGCTCACTGAGATAAGGTGCTGCTACCTGATGATCTAGAGTGGAGGAATCAAACCCAGTTTGTCTTCTGATAACACTTTTCTGTGTTTTCTCCTCAAAAATGTAAAGAAAATCAACAACAAGTTCAAATCAACTGTCACAACATATAGCTCATTGAGTAAACAGTTGTCACAGTTGGTTCTCTCTACTCAGAGGCTGAAGGTTCAAACCCAACTGTGTTCTGACTATTTTCAATGTTTTCTCCTTCAGTGTGAAAGCTCAGTGAGATAAGATGCTGACAGGTCTGTGATCTGGATCTGGGAGTTCAAGTCCTTCTTGGGTTCTTCTTGTGTCCATTTCAGTTCAACTGAAAACTTTATTAACTAATTATTTTGTTATTGTTTTTCTTCTTTCAGAGTCAACATCTGTTTTTGTTTTTTGGGGAAATAAACTTTGTTCGAGGATTGACTGTTTGCTGTTCTGGCTTCCACATGCACACTTTGGCTAACACTTGCTTTAACTGAGAACTTTTTTCTACAGAATAATCTGTTTTTTAGTAACTTCCCCAGGTGTCGGACCCCCCCCCCCCCCCCCCCCCAAAAAAAAAAATCATCAGAACTTTCAGTTGTGTTCATTTAATCCACGGTGCACACATTGAAACCAACCTCGGGAGAGAACAGAGAGTTATGGATTTGGATTTTGGTTTCTGAAGGTGACATTGAGGTCTGCGACTGGTCGACTCCTATTCATTCACTTTACTTATCTAACACTAAATGACATATTTGGACTTTTAATACTAAAACCAGATATAGTTGTACTGATATTTACGTCAACAGTAAGACTGTATATGTACTATAGGACAACAACATTAATACATTCTTATTGATTTCATTTTGTGGTTAATTCAGATGAATTCCTTTTTATTCTAAAGTAAAACGTTATTACCAATATGTTTATATGCAAAGATACATGTTAATAATTTAGTGAGTGCCCTCCAGTATTTATTTTGGATATAATAATAATTAATAATTCGTAAAGTTTTTCAACCTTTTATTCCAGGGTTTTCTATTCATATATATATATATATATATATATATATATATATATATATATATATATATACACTTAAGTAGCTGGAAGACATGTTTTTTATTACTTTATATTTTATCCTTATTATTTTAACCTTATTCTGCTGTGTTGTACCAAATGTAAAAATTAAAGAAGTTCAATAACTTATTGTTGATTACTGATAAACGTTCACATATAACTCATAACTCTTGACAAGAAAGCAAGTGGAGTCTTTTTAGTATTTTTTTATTTTTCATTTTGGATCTCTGAAAGAAAAATAAAGACTTTTTTTTAAATCTGTCTCGCTCATGAATGGTTACTAGTACTGATATGAATGTTCACCAACATTAAGACTGGAAAGTGGACTTACCTGAAGACTCTTTAGTAGTTCACAAACACTCGAGTCCCTTGAGCCAAGAAGTGGACAACGGTGTCTACCGGTTCTTGGCTGATCTGGATGAGAAGCAGAGGGTTATGGAATAAAAGAGATTTGTCAAGGTGGAACCAACTTTTTATAGGATTCAGTTACAGATAGGAAATAGAAATATAACAAGAGCCTAAGATATATAATAAAATAATAGAGCCTATAGTTTCCATAGTTCCCACAGAGCGTGTCAGCAGCAGTCTACCTGCAACCATCAAACACAGAATAAATCATCAGGTTGCATTCATTAAATGGCATATTCATGATATATTATATTATATTGATTGTATTGATCGCAACAGATTTTACAATTGCAATAGGAACAGTTAGTGGGAATGATCATTTGTGAATCCCAATTTTCATTTGCTTATTTTTCTTGATCACTGAGTAACTAAAGTAGCTGAAAGCTCAAAAGAAACATTTGCTTGTAAAAAAAAAAAAAAAAAAATACAGAAGGAGTGACATTTAATATCTAATAAAGTCTTTAAAAATCAAAGACGGAAAAGCTGTTTTAAAGATGACACTGGTGTCTAGAATCTGTACAATTATTGGAAGATTAGTGAGACTTAAACAATTTGTATCACAACAAAAGGAAAACAAAAACAAAGACAGTGTCACTATGTTCCTGCCAGATACAGTAGTGGAATAATTCAATGAGCCAATAATCAATAATAATCAGACCCTCTAGTGGCAGCAGATCTTATTGGCTCCAATAAAGGTCAATCACACACAGCTGGCTCGGTTTCAGTGTTACTGCCGGTACTGCTCCACAAGAGCAACGTTACACTGTTTGATCAGTCAGTGAGACAATGACAGTGGATAATGACCTTAATCGATCTCTGATATTCTCACACAGCGAGGAAACAACAAACAGGTTCAAGTATCCGGAGCGACCGCGAACTTTCCGTCATGGCGTCAGTTCGCCTGAGCAGCCCGGTGGAGAGTCTGTTCCCTGGTGGAGAGTCATTGTGGACTAGAGAGGGAATACTGGGAATATCTGCTTCATGGAGACGTTTGGAGGACGAGAGGAAGAAGAAAAGAGGACATAAGACGAAGAACTGGAGTTTGTTGTGAGTTAGAAGGTCAGTCAGAGGCTGAACGGCCACACAAACAAAACAAACAAACACAAACAAACAAATACAGGGTCGCTGCGTCTGTTGCTCGCTGACTAACAGCTAAACAAACAAACAATCGGTGAAATTCACTCGAGTTACATTAAGGTGACAATGAGAGCTTATTGTGAGAATGAACATTACCTTTTAAACAGTCGTTGTTGTTGTTGTTTTCTTGCTGTTATTGTCAGAGGAAATCAACGCCACCTGTTGATGAGCGTTCAGTGAAAGCGACAAGCGAACAGCGTCTCGAACAACAAAGACAAACAAAGTGACTGTTTCTGGATCTTTGGATATATTGATTGTTTGTTTGTTGCTCTGTCAATAATTAGACTTTATTGTGTGTCTGATGGCTGCAGGAGGACTGCTGCTGAGGCTCTGTGGGAACTATGGAAGAGTCTTCAGGTTGGTCCACTTTCTAGTCTTAATGTTGATTATAAATGTGACTGAATCCTATAAATGTTTGTTGTTTCACTGTAATCTACACAAAGCTGCAACCACTGACTGTGTGTCAGTCTTTAGGTTGTGGGTTTGAGTTTGAATTGAATTGTCTGACAGTGTTATAATATGTCAGTTTCTTACAGGTTGAAGGCTGATGTCCAGAGTTACAGGAGGACTGGTGTTGACACGGCCTGCAGGAAACACAGAAGAGTCTTCAGGTAAGTCCGCTTTACAGAGTTTATGTTATTATTCACTAACTGATTAAACACTAACTGTTGATATATTGACTGTGTGTAAATTACAGATATTGGAGAGGTCCGTGGGGTGAAATCCAACCTCAGTAAGTGTTCTTATTGTGCTCTGCTTTGGTTTCTGGGAGCTCAAGCTGCAGTTACTTGTTTTAACTCTTACTAACTATTAATATTAACTATTTCCTTTGGTTGTTTCCACAGAAATTAACCCAAATGCCATCGCTCCCAACCAGAACCCCGGACACGCTGCTGTAACAGTCTTCCACCGCAATGCTGTGGTATGTATCTTACATTATTCTTGTATATGTAGTAGTGTCTAATATAACATAGTTGTGTCTAGTTTAATTTAATTTAATTTAATATAATGTAGTATAATATAATAGTGTCTAATTTAATTTAATTTAATATAATATAGTAGTGTCTAATTGAATTGAATTTAATATAATTTAATATAATATAATAGTGTCTAATTTAATTTAATAGAATAGTGTTTAATGTAATATGTAGTATAATATAATATAGTAGTGTCTAATTTAATTTAATATAATAGTGTTTAATTTAATATAAAAGTATTTAATGGAATATATAGTATAATATAATATAGTACTGTCTAATATAATGTAATGTAATAGTGTCTAATTTAATTTCATATAATTTAATATAATATAATATAGTAGTGTTTAATTTAATATAATAGTGTCTCATTTAATTTCATATAATAGTATTCAATGTAATATAGTATAATATAATATAGTAGTGTCTAATTTAATGTAATGTAATATAATAGTGTTTAATGTAATATAGTATAGTATAAAATAATATAGTAGTGTCTAATTTAATTTAATAAATAATATAATAGTAGTGTCTAATATAATGTAATATAATATAATAGTGTCTAATTTAATTTAATATAATATAATTTCATTAAATATACTATAATATAATAGTTTCTAACCTAATTTAATTAAATTTAATATAGTACAATCGTGTCTAATTTAATTTAATATAATATAGTAGTTTTTAATTTAATATAATAGTGTCTAATTTAATTTAATAATTTAAAGTGTGTATTGTGTGCTACCTGTACTAACTTTTTTTCTCTCTCTCTCTCTCTCTCAGGTCCTGCTTCCTGGATCGCCCCCTCCCCTCCACAATGAAGTCTTCTTAGACTTCATTGTGGAGGGGAGGGGGCGATCCACAAAGAAGACTTCCTGAGGGGAGGGGGAAGAGGGGTGTTATTGTATGTATATGTTGTTGATGTTCAATAAAATTATTTTAAAATCCATAACCCCCTGCTTTTACCTCTCTGGAAGCCTGGGAGGGGACACGGCCCCCTCCTCTCCCTCTGCAGCGGGGTGAGGCTCCAGGAACCTGGCATCCGGCGCCGAGCGAGCCTCGAACCAGACGCTTCTGCATTCTGGCCGCTCCCATGCACACTGCGCCACCATGCTCCCTTCACACTAGAACATCTTCTCCGGGCGCTTTTATCTTTTTATTTTGGCTGCTGGAACACAAAACACTCAGTCTCATAAGAGAATCGAACACCCGACCTTTGGTCTCCTGATCACTCTTCTAACACTCTGCACTATTTGATCTGAGACTCTCTGTGTTTCTAACAGCTTTTCACTTGTTTCTACGAACATCTGACTTCATAATTCAGAGTTGAGCAAGGCTCAAACCCCACTTCCAATCAGACAATCATCTGCTTATTCACTGACACAGTACCACTGACAGTAGAGTCTGGGTCAGTTGTTACTTTTCTTCACCTCTTTGAGCAGAGAGAGAGCTTCGTAGTTGTATTTATTGTTCACATTACTGAGGAGAAACCTTTAAAAATCTCACAACGCATGAGCTTGGATTTGAACCCTCCACCTCAGGTATCAACACCATCAGCTGCTTATCTTGCTGAGCTATTCCTGCTGAGGGTATTTTAAACTTTCCTTTTACTGCATTCTCTTCATTTTTTACAGTTTTATAATCGGGGGGGTTATACGAGCTCTAATGGAGCTCCTTGTGTCTCAGGTATAACAGTGCTGCTTTCCTGCACATTTATGGACGTCACAGGTATTAGTGCTTTACTAAAAATAATAATCCATCAGTAGAAATAGCTCAGTGAGATAATCTGCTGATGTTAATATCTGAGGTGGAAGGTTTTTGAGGATTTTCAGTTTTCCCTTCAGCAACATGAACAATAAATACAATAAACCAGTGACTTGTAACCCTCAGGTGTAGCTCAGTGAGATAAGGTGAATCTACTTGATGATCCAAGGGGAGGGGGATCAAATTCAAAATGTCTTCTGATAACGCTTTTCTGTGTTTTCATCTAAAAAATGTAAAGAAAAGCAACAACAAGTTCAACTCTATTGTCCCAACAAATAGCTCAGTGAGATAAGACACTGACAGGTCTGTAACCTGGACCTGGGAGCTCAAGTCCTTGTTGGGAAACAAACACAATAGTTGGTTCTGATCTGGTCGTTCCTGACTCCTATGAGACGCTCTGAAACCATTAAACACACACAGTAAACACTAGTGATACAAAGTAACTGAGCTTAATAACAACATCACATAACTGACAATGTATCAGGAATAAGTAGAATAATTGATCATGTAAGTAGGATTAGTAGTAATGAATAAGTAAAATAAAGTCCACCTGTAGGCGTTGTACAGCTGCAACAAGAAGCAACATTCAATCCCATTTCTGCAACAGTCTCTTAGGGGGCAGAGGAGGTCACGGCCCTCATCCACTTCCGTGGGAATCGCGTTCCAGGTGACGGGGTCTCACGGGAATTGAACCCACTGCTACATGGTAGCAGGTGCTTTGCGAATCGCTTTTGATGCCGCTGCTCCACCGGACCGTCCGCACTTGGAGCTGTTCTCTGACGGACTTTCAGTCCACTGCTGAGGACGTCTGCCTTTAAATCGAACCAGTGAACGCACATTCACAGACATCAACGCCACTGGACCACAGAGCCTCTCTAACAGCTTACTAACAACAGTTTGAGCTAATTCTCTGAAACATTTCACATTTATCTCTACATCTACTTACATAAAGAAGGTAACAGTTCTGCTACTGAAAATATCTCCACTGCAATCAGGACTTAAACTCATGCAAACACTGAACCACTAACCCAAAACAACCAAACAAAGAAAATTAATTTCCAAAGACGTCTCAGTCCAGATAATGTGTAAACTTTACTTCTGTGGAAAGGTTTTCTTCAATAGAAATATATCCTACCAGAGGAGATGTTCCTTCTTCAAAGATGTCCTCCACTGACGCTGCAAATCTACAAGTGTGAGACATAAAGTCTTAACATACAACACAGCTGACAGTGAAAGTAAAAATCATACAACAATAATAAACTTGATTCAGTTACGTTTATAGTCAACAATAAGACTGGAAAGTGGACCAACCTGAAGACTCTTCCATAGTTCCCACATTAGTATTAACAGCAGTCCTCCTGCAACCATCAAACACAGAATAAATCATCACAACTATAAGTTGCATTCATTATAGGGCTGCATGATATGGCTAAAAAATCATATTGTGATTGTATTGATTGCAACAGATTTTAGTGGGAATGATCCTTTTTGTCTCCCAGTTTTCATTTTTAGCCATTATCTAGCTGTACCCTTTATAACTCATTATAAAAAAAACACTCTACTCGATCTATTATATGTAAAACTGTACTTTAATTGAGGAAAATTGAGTTATTTATTGAATATTAATATAGATTTAATATGTATTTGTTTTGTTTAGTTTTACACATGCAGGTGAATTGCATTTTGGATCTTGGTTTTGTTATTTATGCAAAAAAATAGATGGGCTCAAGCATTGTGCTCACTCTGGGATCCACTTCTTATGTACAGTATTGTATAAATACAGCAGGCTACAGTAGGCTATATATGTGTGAAATAAAAAACTGATAAAAATTTGTACCTGATCTCCTGAGGTGAAATATTTTTTTCATTAAAATGAGAGGTTGTTATGTCACATGTAAAATATCAGAAAGAAGCATACAAATGAACTGGAGTCATACAAATGCAGGCAAATGCATCCGGAGGGTCAGCTTGGTACTGGGGGTATTTACAATGACAGGTGAGTTTCTACCTGGTAAACAGGTTTTGGTAAAAAATACATAATGATTTGATATTTTAGCTCTGTGGTTTACTTAGATTTACAACATTAAATATTGCATCTATGTGTGTTTATTATCAATTATCAATAAAATAGAACACAAACTTGTTCCACAAGGTGTAAAGTCAAAAATATGGGTGCATGATCTGTTCTGGGTTCTTTCTCCACCCAGAAAAGTTTGTCTTTCTCTCTTTTTTTCAAGTTTTTTAAAGGCGGGCTGTTCTTCGCAAAGCCAATGAGGGAGAATAATTACATCACTATAATAGATCCATTTCCGAGAAAGTATGGAAAAGCACTGACTGCAGTTCTTGTCATTGTTCCAGTCGTAGTTGAAATCATCTGGGTTCCTGGATTCTTGATTTCTTTGAGTACAAATGCACAAAAATGCACAATTTCCCCGTCTGGCCCGCTCATCCGATTTATCATCTATTTAGTTGCTTACACTGATGTCATCCAGCTTTCATTGGTGCTTATTAGCTTGGTGGGTTTTACACAATAAAACTAAACTATGCAGTAGTTTAATGCAGTTTTTTGAATTATTGAGTGAGCCCCCAACCCTTTGAGCCCCCTTCTGCTCGACTGTTCACATTTCTTGTTGGAAAGTCAAAGGGACTACAAAGAGACACAAAAGGACCACAACCGTTGTTAGGCCTCCCTGTGATCCTGCGTTTCCCAGGATGCACCAACACCAGCAGATGGCAGCAGAGAGTGTGATGGTGGAAAGGCTGAAGCTCAAAATGACAACGAACCAATGCTTGACACAGCTTGCTAATTCTATTTATTATGTATTATTTATTTTCTAGTTGTAACATAGTTGTTGCTGTTATTGATGTTACTGGGAATAAATAATAAGTTGGTGATCATCCAAGATCAGGCAAAAAAAAAAAAAATCTTTAAAGGTTTAAGGGTTTAAGGGTCACAGATGTTTTAATATAAGCCTTAAACAATACGTCACTTTATGGTAAAAGTATGTGTGAAAAATCTGACTGATATACATGTTTCATTTAATATATAATAGAATAACATCACATATATGATATTGACATGTTTAATTCATAAAAACTGTAACTCTTAGCATCATTCCCATTCCTAAAGGACAATTCAACCATTTGGTAAAATCATCATATTCATAGAATAATTTCAGCATATATATAATTGAATAACATTAATGTTAATGTTATTGTGATCAACAACAGTAAATGGTCATACGTTTTTTTATTTCATAAGTAGTGTAAATTATAATTACATTAGGTACCTTCCTACGGAGCCCCTAAAGTCCCCAAAAGGAAACATTTTTTATCTCATGGGCACAAGATAATTTACTATAAATTCATATGCATCTCTAACGGCTTCAGATGCATACAGCTGTCATATAATGGAGATATCTCAACTTATCAAGTTTTATTTTCACCTCTGAATGTCATACCATGAAATTCTTGCTGCTCTTGTGGAAATCTGAATGTCTGCCAGATTCTGTTTAGAGGGGCATGGACCAGAAAGCTATTTTTCTCAACTATCTTATCAACCAGCTCACCCACCAATAACGTAGCAAATTGACTGCTTGAATAAAGCAATAAACACAGCAATGTTTCGTTAGTGGAGAAATCAGCAAACATATTCAATTCAATTCAATTTTATTTGTATAGTGCCAATTCTTAACAGAAGTTATCTCGGGACACTTTTCAAATAGAGCAGGTCCAGACCAAACTCCTTATAACATTATTTACAGAGACCCAACATATGCCTAAAGCTGGTAACTTGTGTGCACAAGATACAAAATATTTCCTTTTGGGGACTTTAGAGGTACCTTCCCTTTATTATAAAATGAAAAAATAAAACATAGAGCATGTTTTTAGAAAATTATTTGACCCTTGTTAGACTTTTGTTGTGTCAAGTGACATAATTTTGTTCAGTAGGACCTTTACTTACTTATTTAGTAATATGTCTGCTTACCTTTGAAAATTCCCCCACACAGAATCATTTTTGTTTCTGACTTCCTGTAACTGAACTGAGCCTACTAATTAAAGTCACAGTGACATCTAGTGGATTTCTTTTGGCATAACATACCTAAACTGAGTGGTAGAGATGGCTCAGTCAGGTTAAGCTCAACACAATTTCATTTAATTATCCTGAGATGCCAATCCACTGTTTTTAATAAGGAAGGGAATGTAACCTTCTATATTTGTCCTCACCCTACCTTTCTCTTGTCAACCATGGGAGCTTTCTGAAGGTGCAACTTAGTTTCACAAAATATCTGACTCTTCCCTGACTTGGATGAGGCCAAGGTAACTACTCAGAAGAATCCAATCTGAAGAGGAATGTCAAGGACAGTTGCGTATACAAGATATTACTGTAAATGATGTCAGAATGAGACTTGTGAATGTAGTTTGTCTGCATATTCACAGATAAACAGATTTTTACAACAACCTGCAGTGAAAAAAGTGTAAACCCTGATAAGTAGCATAATTAGTTATTGATGCTGGGTTTGAATTTCTATAATCACTCAGTCTTTTTTAATCTTATATCACTTCTTTATATCAGGTGTTGACTGGAAGTGGGAGGTTTAGTGCCAGACAGCCACATTGACCTTGACATATTTATGGGCGTTTGACACTGTATTTATCCCTTCATTTCTTGTTTTTATCTCAGTATGTGTTGATAACTTACTTGTGGTTACCTGACCTTATCATCACTCTAAAATCCTCCACAATGGCTCTCCATATACCGGGTCTGATAATGATGGTCGTCTTCTACTTGCTTGTGTTGGGAATTGGCATCTGGGCGTCTGTAAAATCGAAGAAGATGGAGAAAAACACATTCACTGGACAGATAGAAGTTTCTTTTTTGGCTAATAGGAAAGTCAGCTTGGTAGTGGGAGTCTTCACAATGACGGGTAAGTTTTGGTCAGGGAGATACATATTTGAAATTCAAACAATATCTGTATGTAATCAGCTTTTTGTCTCGTATGTTAGGCAGTATTGTATTATTATTATTATAAAGAGGTTTCTATAATCAGGTCAATCATGTACAAAATTGATTATTCAAACAATAATTTCATTAGTACACTGTTTTAGAAAAAGAAAAATTCTGACATGTTTCAATACATTTTGGTTCTACAAATCACTACAGCGTGTTGTATTTTTAGCTTTTCCTGGCTTTGGATACAAGATGTGTCTTTGTGTCTACAACTATTATAAACAATTCATAACCTAAAAGATGCATTTATGTAAATATGGTATGTTTATTTCCGGCTGCAGCCACTTGGGTCGGAGGTGCCTTTATCATTGGAGTTGCAGAGACTGTTTATGACCCCACAAAGGGACTCATCTGGGCTCTTCTTCCTCTGCAAATGTCAGTTTCCTTTATTTTTGGTAAGATCCTCCTCCAAAAAAAGCATATGACGAACAAGATAAAGTATTTTTCTTTCCCAAAAAGTAGTCAAGAGTTTTTATCTTCATCACAATGGCAGGTCTCAAATACCAATCAATTTGCCTAAAATGATGAAATAAACAAGGAACAAAGCATGAGACGCATGAGACATGATATTCTGCTCCCGAACCCTGAAAACTGAAGTATAAAATAACTACTATATTTGTTCTGTCTTTTAAAGGCGGGCTGTTCTTTGCAAAGCCAATGCGGGACCAAAACTACATCACTATGATGGATCCATTTCAGAGAAAGTATGGAAAAACACTGACTGGGCTTCTTGCCATTGTTCCATTCATAAGTGAAGTGATGTGGGTTCCTGTCACACTGATTTCATTGGGTAATACAAAAACTTCTTCTCCAGAGGTGTTAAACAAATAATAAACTTTATCCATATAGCACTTCATGTGTTTTTTGTGTGTGCGGGCTTCCAACAGGGGTTACCATTAGCATCTTCTCCGATCTGCCCTTAAGTCTTTGCATCTGGATCTCTGCTGCAGTGGCCATCATCTACACTGTGCTTGGAGGTCTCAGTTCAGTTGCTTTCACTGATGTCATCCAGCTATCGTTAGTGTTTTGTAGCTTGGTAAGCTTAAAAAAATACAGGCAAGGCAGCTTTTCCAACACACTAAATGTATGATACTCTTCCTGGATTGTTCTTACTGTATAATTTTCTCTGTCTATAGTGGCTGTGTGCCCCCTTTGTTCTGGCAAGTGATGTTTATACGGACATCACTCAAACAGCGTTCAACCACACACATCAGGCTCCCTGGCTTGGCCGCCTTAAGTCTGATGAAGTGTGGAGATGGATTGATCAGTTCCTATCAATGGTAAGATCAAGTTCCCCCTCCACTCAAAAATGTCTTTTGCTTATTGTTGCGTCACTTGAATGTTAGAGCTTCACTGTGCAGTCATAAGCCCATAATATGTAAGATAAATGTGGCCAGAGGGTGGCATGGAGGCTTTAATGAGCCTATACAGCTCCAAATACATTTCTTTTTTAATTGATCATCATCTATCATTTAGTCTAAAATGTTGCTATAACAGATCATTATATTAATTTCATTTTTTTAACACATTATTTACCATTATACCATTTTATGGTTTACTGTGTTTTCCCAGAGTGTTGGAAATTTGGCGTTTCAAGATTTTCATCAAAGGACTCTCTCCTCCAGCTCCACATCTACGGCCAGAATGATCTGTTTTATAGCAGCTGGTGTTGTCATTGTTCTTGGAATTCCACCTGTGCTGATTGGTGCAGTTGCAGCCTCAACAGGTATACCTAACATACTGGGCAGCAGAAGGGTGTAGTTTATATTTTTGACAAATATGACTACTACTAGGCAGCTATACTGACAATATGAAACAAGCATTTTTTTGCTCAATACATGAGCTTATTGGGGACGCTAATGTAATGTGTTTTATTTTCTCTATTTAGCACATATGCCTGCACACATAAAGAATTTCACAGACTTGCCATCCTCAGTTTTAGTTTTAGTACTTTTTTTAGGTAAAGCTGAGAGCTAGTCCAATCCAGTTGTCGATTTAGAAGCAAACAGATTTTTAGAAAGAGTTAAAAAGAATCTGACCCCATAATAAATAAATTGTTGAATCCCTTTTTTTCTTTTATGTGAGGTATTTTCAGATGTAAGTTTCTTTTTAAAATGTTAAATGTTACGGTGTACTAACAAGATGGCTAACAGTTTAATCATTTTATTTAAACACTAAATCACACTAAACTAAAAACTATTTTAATAGCATCTTAGCTGAATAGCATCCAGCAGCTTCCACTTCTGTTTCAGATTGGAATATGACCTCCTATGGGTCGCCCTCTCCGTATGAGCGAGGAGAGGCGGCCATGGTGTTGCCCATCATCCTTCTGCATCTTACCCCGACTGCTATTTTCGTTGTTGGCATGGGAGCTATCGCTGGTGCTGCAATGTCATCTACTGACTCCTGCCTGTTGGCAGCAACTTCCATCTTCACCACCACCATCTACAAGCCCTTTAGACAGCAGGTACAAAGAAAAGGTGGTTAGAAAACAGCTAAGTCAGCGGCTTTCCAGAACAGTGACCTCCTTTAATGTGTGAACAGTTTTCCTAACACTGCAAAGCATTCTGTTTATTTTTGCCCTCAGTACTGTGAATACTTGCCAATTAGACGTTCATTTGTTTGCTTATATGGTCATTCCGACATTTTAACTTAAATATTATTTGCTTTTCTCTAGGCCTCAGATAGAGAGCTGCACTGGGTGATTTGCTTCTCCATAGTGGCTGTAGGGATTGTGGGAACTTCTCTCACCTACCTGGACAACAGCATCTTAGCATTCTGGATCCTGAGCTCAGACTTGACTTACACCATAATGCTCCCTCAACTGATCTGCATCCTCTTCATCAAAGTTTCTAATGGCTATGGTGCTGTTATAGGCTATATTGTTGCTTTTGTGATGAGAGTTCTGTGTGGAGAGCCGGTCTTCCATCTTCCTGTCATTCTGCATTTCCCAGGTTGCACTTTAGAGGATGGTGTTTACATTCAGCGCTGGCCTTTCAAGACCATCTGCATGCTGTCTGCTCTGGTCTCCATTCTGATGTTTTCATATGTGTCTTCATTCCTGTTTAACAAGGGGATCCTTCCTGAGAGGTGGGACGTGTTCAAGGTGAAATTACAAGGGGTGCCAGCACCAGCAGATGGCGCCAGAGAGTGTGATGGTGAAAAGGCTCATGTTCAAAATGAAAATGAGCCAATGCTTGACACAGGTTGCTAATTCACTTTCTATTGACTTTATGAGTTATTTTCTTTTTGTTGCTGCCAATGAAAAGGAAAACTTTTTTTTAACTACATTTCTATTTCTGCTGCTCACTTCTGCTTCCACACATGTGATTGTTAATGAAGCAGGTGATGGATGCATAATGTTTTGATTAACATTGATATTGTGTCTTATTTGTGAATTATTTGTATTGTGTTGTTATGTGTTATTTTGTTATGTAAAATAAAATACAAAGCTGTCACAGAGATCTCTTTTTATCCATATATATTGCCTCAAGTCACAAATTATACATCAATTATATAACCCTAATATAGAACTAAAATTTAGTTGTAGTGGTCTTTTTTTTCTTCTTACATATATCACAACTTTAAATTCTCCATAAGAAATAAAATACTCTAACTTAGAGTAGCTATTTACAGTTTTTACCACAGACACATTACTATAATGGATTCATTTCAGAGAAAGTATGGGAAAACACTAGCTGAGCTTTTTCCCATTGTTCCACTCATGAGTAAAGTGATTACCGAAAACCACGTGCAAGTTGTCAAGACATACCAAGCAAAAAATAAGGAATGAGCATACAAACAAATGCCCAATAGAACAGAGCAATGCAATGAGATGTGAAACAAAATGTAACAGCTGCAGTCAAGGTCACTGCTGCTGTCTTGCACTAAACCTCCCAGTCAAGAGATAAAGAAATGTTACAAGATTACAAGAAAAAAGAAAAAAACTGGGATCAGAGCAAGCCGAACCTAACTACAGTCCAACATCAAGATTAAGAACTACACATTTTTGACCATAGGTTGTCATGAAAATCTGTTATAGAGAATATGCAGACAAACTAGAGATGCAAGGGTTATACTGACATGTTTTTATATTACTTACCGGTACTTTCTAGAAAACTGTCCTTGACATATTTCTGTTTAGATAGGATCCTTCCTATCATAGTCGTTGTCTTTATGCAAGTCAGGGTAGACTCAGATGTTTTCTGCCCTCTGGATTGCATCTGAGTTACTAAGTTTCTACTACAGAACATTTCCTGCACTGAGAAAGCACATTATGCTTTGATTTGAAAACTGACACATTAAGAACAGGAGGGGGGGTCGTCAGTTATCAATCACAACACCTGAGGTTATAGGGCACAACACACACACACACACACACACACACACACACACACACACACACACACACACACACACACACACACACACACACACACACACTCACATTCACACTTCTAAGGATGCAATTCACTTAACAAAGGCATATAAATATGTTTAATTTGAAATAGTTTTTACATGCTTTTGATATTTTGACAACAGGAAAACAGAAAACCATGGTTATCCTGGGCGTGTAGCACTGGAGTTTAAACTTAAACATACCCAAACAGAATGCAGAAAGCAGAATCACTACTGGGGTTGTAGGAGCATTAAGCACTATAAATAATGTAAAGCAATTATTTTACCCAAAAGTTAATGAAACAATTGTACCGACAAAGAAATGTAAAAAAAAAAAATTAGCATTTTGTATCCAGCATTGGTTCAGAGGCCAATTTATCATTTTCATCAGTCCCATCACTCTCACCCTCTCTGGCACCATCTGCTGGTGTCAGCTTCACCTTGAACACGTCCCACCTCTCAGGAAGGATCCCCTTGTTAAACAGGAGTGAGGCAATGTATGAAAACATCAGAATGGAGACAAGAGCAGACAGCATGCAGATGGTCTTGAATGGCCAGCGCTGAATGTAAACACCGTTCTCTAAGGTGCAACCTGGGAAACACAGGATCACAGGGAGTCCAAACACTGGCTCTCCACACAACAGTCTCAACACCACTGCAACAAGGTAGCCTGTGATTGCCCCATAACCGTTGGAAACCTCAGTGAAGAGGACACAGATCAGCTGGGGGAACATGATGGTGTAAGTCAGGTCTGAGCCCAGGATCCAGAACACCAAGATGCCGCCCTCCAGGTTGGTGAGAGAAGTTCCCATAAGTCCTGCAACCACTATAGAGACACGAATCACCCACTGCAGCTCTTTATCTGATGCCTAAAAAGCAGAGAACATAATACTTGAGTGACTAGGTGGAAGGAAATCACGTGTACATCTCATGACATATACTGACTCACCCTGCCACGCTGCCACCCCTTCCCTCTGACCCCCCCCCGACCTGCACTTTGGATCTGTTGAAAGGATGTGTGTCAGGTCTTTCAGAGACAGAAGATCAGGAAGGCAACATGGGACTGTACTACATCCTGTTTGTGGACTTCAGCTCGCCGTTCAACACCATCATCACGGACAACCTCCACATCAAACTCACTATGCTCACTGTGCCAGCCTCCACCAGTGGATTACAGTGGAACTTCCTGACTGAGAGGATGCCTAAGGACCTGCTGATCCAGTTCTACACTGCAATCATTCAGTCTGTTCTCTGTTCATCCACTGTCTGGTTTGGATCAGCCACCAAACAGGACATGAACGACTACAGTAGACAGTCAGGACTGCAGAGAGGATCAGCTGCCAACCTGCCCTCAATTGAGGACCTTTACCTGTCAAGAGTCAGGAAATGGGCAGGTATCATCACTGCAGATCCATCTCACCCTGGACACAACCTGTTCCGACTCCTCCCCTCTGGTAGGCGCTACAAAGCACTCAACGCCAAAACAAAAACAGGAACAGTTCCTACCCACAGGCCATCACTCTGACTAACAGTTAACTGCTCTGTCCAATAACCATAGGACTCTTAATCACAAACCATTTATTACTTATTTTTCCCATTGTTGAAAATTCAGTTTATTTTTTAAAACATAAAACATCAATTCTATTCTAATACATCTACCTATGCGGTGCTTACTGTAGATACAGTAGACTCTGTCATATCCACCTACATCATGTACATAAAGATACCTGCACATGAATTATTTACCAATTGCCATTGCACTATTGTGTATTAGTCTATGTCTTTTTGTATTAGTCTATGTCTTTTGCTGAATTTGTTCTGTCATGCTGTTAGTCTGTGTTTGTACATTGAGAGCAAGGTAAAACCAGAGTAAAATTCCTTGTACTTGCAGATGGGGGACATTTTATATTGTTTTTTGTGAATAACAGCTATTCCACCACCTTGACCAAATAGTCTGGGTTGATGGAAATTAATAAAACTAAGGGGTGTAAGCTTAAGTCAATGGAATAAATCAGTGCAGACACTTCTGACTTTTTAAAATAACTACATTGATGCTTTGATGCATGCTCCAAAACCCTCCTAGCAAGTTCAGTTTTTGGATCTGGGTATTTCTAAAATCCTGTGTACAGCAGGACAGTGAAGTACACCCAAACAACTCTGTGTAAACATGTAGATGGCTTAATGCTAAGAAAACAGCACAGAAAATGTAATTGTTAAAATAGATAAAAAAGAGCAAAAGAATGAGGGTTAGGGTTAGGTTTATGCTGTATGTAGGGTTAGGTTTGAGCTGAAGTAGGGTACTGGCACCTATTTTGGTCCAATTCATGCATTAGTAAGTAAAATCAACTTAGCTCAACCAGTGATGGCAAACGCTCATCACAAACAGAATCTAATCCATTCATTCTCATTCACATACGAGCAATTTGAGGTTCAGTATCTTGCTTAAGGACACTTCGACATGCAATGGGAGGAGCCAGGGATCAAACCTCAAAACCTGCTCTAACTCCTGAGCCACAGCCTCCCACTTGTGTAAGCACTACACTACTGGCTCCTGTTCTTTGTACTGACCTGACTCCTGATGGTCTGGTAGATGTTGGTGGTGAAGATGGTGGTTGCAGACAAAAGGTAAGAGTCAGCGGATGACATCACTGCAGCAGCAACAGCTCCGATGCCAAAAGCAAAAATGTAGGTGGGGGTAAATTGCTGAAGGATGATGGGCAACACCATGGCCCCCTCCCCTCGCTCATATGGAGAGGGAGAACCATAAGAGGTGGAGTTCCAGTCTGAAACAAAAGATAAATGGATGGTTGCTAACACTGAATCATCCAGGTCGTCCTTGGAAACTGTTTTCAAAAAATGCTTGGCAGGTGATTGGATTAACCAAATTATCTATTACCTACTATCACCTATCATATCTATTATCTATTGTCTATCATGGGTGAACTTCAATCATTCAGACCTTCCTATTGTTTCTTTGTTTAATCAAAGAGGGAAAACATTTTCTTCATTGAGAAAAGCCTTCAGTGCCATTCTGTGCATTTCTTTCAGTAACAAAATACTGTACAGTTTTTGCAGTGCTGTATGCAATAAAGAGACTTGATTCATTACACCAGTCTGTCAGAACTAGCAACTCTCAGTCTTTTGGAACAGTCAAGATTACCTGTTGACGCTGCAACAGCACCGATCAGCATAGATGGGATTCCAGCAATGATGACGACTCCTGCGGCTACGAAACAGATGATTCTGGCTGTGGACGTGGAGTTAGAGGACAGGGTCCTTTGATGGAAATCCTGAACTGCCATGTTGCCCACGCTCTAGAAAATGAAAATGTGAGACAAACCAAACCACACTCTATCCCCGTGTTATCAATTTAAATGTTATATTTTAGGAATGTTGCTCACACTTAGAGCAATGAGGAAAAATTTACATTTGTTGAATTAAACTGGCTTTACAATGCAGTGAAGGATGAGACAGGCTGTCCTTGGTTTGACCATATTATCTAAATAATAATTGTTCACTGAATAAATTCAATACAGACTCATATTATATGGACAATATGGGTTTATAACCTGCCATCACTTGTGTGTGGACGCTACATATGTTCATCAGTGTCATCACATTCCCAAAAATGAGCTGGGTTGTAAAATAATAATAATAACAAATATGATAATAATAACTTTACTTTAAGTCTAATGTACTACATAACATTTCTGACAATAGCAAGTTTTATAGTCAACTACACATCTGTATCTGTATGAAGGGCTCAAAAAAATACACTTAACACAGATAAACTGTGCTGCTATTCATCTTACCATCACAAGAAAATTATCAATCCATCTCCCGATTTCATCAGACTCAAGCTGGCCAAGCCAGGGGGCCTGATGTGTGTGGTTGAGTGCTGTTTCAGTGATGTCAGTATAGATGTCACTTGTCAGGACAAAAGGGACACACAGCCACTGTCAAAAGAGAAAAACACACAGTAAAATCTCAATAAAGAAGGGATACATCTGAAACCCATCATTTTTTAAACGTAAATCTCACCAAGCTAAGAAGCACCAGTGATATCTGGATGACATCAGTGTATGCAACTGAATAGAGACCTCCGAGAACAGTGTAGATGATCGCCACCACAGCAGAGATCCAGACGCAAACACTGAAGGGCAGATCCAAGATGACTGTCATGGTTGCCCCTTTAGCATCAAACATAAACAAACAGAATAAAATATAAAGGAAAAAATGGATGACAGGGTCAGAAAGTGAATATGTTAATTTGAGTGTGCTTACACGCGTGTACCTAAGGAAATCAGTAATCCAGGAATCCAGACAACTTCAGTTGTGACTGGAACAATGGCAAGAACCGCAGTCAGTACTTTTCCGTACTTTCTCTGAAATGGATCCATCATACTGATGTAATTGTTTTCCCTCATTGGTTTTGCAAAGAACAGCCCACCTTTAAATGGATGAAAAAGAGAGAAAAGTAATATAATAGTCTGTATTAATGGTACAGCCCTGGACATTTCTCTCCACGTGTTATTTAACTATTACATAATACTATACTATACTATACTAACATAAATATCTATTATGTAACCAGTCCATTACTAGCAACCAGACAGACACACAGTTATTTTCTTACCTTTTTGATAATAATAGTCACTTCCTTGTCTTGATTTGATATTGTGAATTTTAAGAAGAACATTGTATTTTATAGTTGCAGTAAATGGACTACACCGCTGGGGACACACCTTTTAAAAAAGTCAAATTCCAATAAACTGTAGTCAGACTCTTAAAACTACAGAGAGATTTATATGGAAGAGTGGCACTTACCAATAATAAAGGAAAATGACATTTGCAGAGGAATAAGAGCCCAGATTAGACCCTTGGTAGGGTCATACACTGATTCTGCAACACCAATGATAAAGCCACCTCCAACCCAAGTGGCTGCAGTAGAAAAGAATACACATAAGGGTTGTATCATTAAGGTGGTGTGAGAAAATAAAATGTACTACATATTTATTGAAAGGATTACGAGTTCACAAATGTTCCAACAACTTTTAAGAATGCATACAAACACTTCTATTTGCATTACATAACACTTATTGAGGACACTTATTGTCTTCTTGTTATAAGGAAACTAAAACGTACCCGTCATTGTGAAGACTCCCACTATCAAGCTCACACTCCGGTTAGCCAAAAAAGATATCTCAACCTGTCCATTGTGTGTGTTTTTCTCCATTTTCTTGGATTTTACAGACGCCCAGATACCAATTCCCAACACAAGCAAGTAGAAAGCTATCATCATTATTAGACCTGGTAGATTGAGAGCCATTCTAAATTAAAACCAGTGACGGTGAGACCTTACTCCTTTGGCTTGTTTTTTAAAATGTGCAAGAAGACCCCAGTTCCTATGCCTGCATCCAGATAAACCGGTTTTGAGTGATTGCACACAGAGCAGAAGGTGGCCCTGAGGGAGACCTTGCAGGCATCTTCCATGCTACCAGATTCCAGTACTTCTGAGACCAACTCTACAAGTAAGAACTGGTCCCCAAACTCAGACCATAGGTGGTTTTGTGAAAGGCACAAGTATCAAGAATGTTTAATCACTACTATCCCAAAGACATGGTGTGTAACATGACAGAAAGAATCCCTGATATGCTGGCTGTACATCCAACTGTAAAAAACAGCCACTAGATACCTTAAAAGGAGACTTTACAGATCCAACAAGCAAGGAGTAAAAAAATGCCCCACCTATTTTGCCTCACCCATCTGTTCCCTCTACCAAAACAAAACGTCGACGAGACATAACACAATGTGGCAGGAAATTTAACCCTGAGAACCAAGAAAAACAGACCACTTTACTCCTGCTCTTGAACACAGGCTTCCAGTTTAAGATTATATAAACTACTTTGCTTTGCATAAAAGTATGATTTTTTACTATTGCACACTGTATCAATGGATGGTAATTTTATTATCAGACTGATTCATATTCAAGCTTTCTTTTGTTCCTTTTATTGCAGAACCCTTTCTCTCACTTTCTCCTAATTCTTCTGTGGGCCTTTGTTGACAAAATTGTCAAAATGTCCCAGATAGAAAAACTGAACAGGGCACTTTATATCTAGTTAGTCCCATTCTTTTTGTAGCACTGAAGTTTAGTAGCCTTGTGCTGGTGCATGTTTCTTCAATTATTAATTATTGTATTCTTCTTTCTTATGTCAAAAAGTAGAGGGAGCAGTACGAAGAGGGGTCCTCTTCATAGAGAACAAAACTTATAACACAGTAACACAACTGATACGCAATTTATTTGATTATTATCACACGTCCATTTTTCTACAACATCAGGTTTCCTTCAATGTCAGTGCATTTCATTGGTCAGCAAGACAACCAGTAGAATTCAAAACCAAGAAAACGTCAAAACCTAGAATACAAGTGCTTAGCTGATTTCTCTCAATATCAAGCACTTATTCTCAAAAAGAAAACACACACACACACACACACACACAAATAAAACATACGCCATTGCATCGGTAAATAACTGATGAGAATGCTGTGCTCCTTAGTTGGAAGACACACAGAGAAAGAGTTTGCATAAGGCACCAAGACGTGGAGGGAGTAGCTTATAAATCGCGAGGTGGATTTCCTTTCTGTAGAGAACCGGCTCCGTGTCCAACTTGATACTTGGATTTTGAGAATGCGAAGCTAAAGTTTAGTTGAGGGGGGAAGCGAAATGTTTGTGCATCACCGTATAGCACATTTAAATTACATCCAAAGGGGGAAAAAAACAGCAACAAAGCAAACAGCAACAGAGCAAGAAATGTTTCAGTCTTCACAAATAGCGGCTCTAAAAATAAGAGCCATTAAAGCTGGAGATGGGGGATAAACACGCATTCAAAGTAAATATTTATTTGAATTACAAAACAAGCAAGTTTGGTTAAAAGCTTTTTACGATAGACATTTGTAAATTTAACGTAATGCAGACACAGGAATAGTATACTTGCTGAAATCAATGTGAACAGAGAGACTTTGCCATCATGCATGTAGGAATTTCACCATCCATTACAAAACCACAGAACTAAAAGAGAAAGACATGAACGGTGGCACAACAAACTTTAGAGGCATTCACATGTGACTCAAATCATGTGATCATTTCAAATTTGGTCATTTGTCAGCTAGTCTACGACATGCCATTCAAGCAGTGTCACTTATTCAATGAGTGAATTTAGCATGACCTCATATCATTAAGTATATCTACATGCACACCACCAATCAGGGCAATACAATCATTATTCAAATTACAGTGTGAACACATAAAGTCATAATCGAAGTAAGCCTTGCCAGGTTAAAAGGGCCATTCCACCAATTTTACACACGGGAGGAGGAGGTTCGTCAAGTCTACAAGAATAACCCCGATGATGTCATAATGATGTCATTGGGGTTATGTCCTCTTAAACTGGGAGACATAGGAGAGTTAACTGAAAGGTTGCGTTACCCCGTGTTTTTCCACTGCGCTCTCTCTCTCGCTCTGTTTCTCTCTCGCTCTCTCACTCTGTCTCTCTGATAAAAAAAAATGCTGCTTTCTGGTTATATTGTTGGTTTGGCGTCTATAATTGATTGTGGTGTAAATTTGACAGAAAACTGGAGAACAGAAACCCTACCCCATGTGAAAAACCCCTTTTAAGAAAGCCAGGCCTAGTGACGAGAGATTACTGTACAATTATTTATTTCAATCGTTTTACTGCTCAAGATGTTCCAAACGGTTTTGAAATGGGCAGGTCAAATTAAAAATCGTTCCACAAATGCCTTGCATTATGGCAACTGTAAGCTCCCATTTTATCCCATAATATGAATTGAAAGTAATAATATCGCCATCTCTGGCATTTCTTTTTTCCTTTTTAAACTGTCTCTCTCAAACGTCCCCCCAAGTTTATGATTATGACCAAATTGCTGTGGTACCCCCTTTAAAAAAGGTCCAAGCCTGTAGGAGAAACTACCGTGGCCGTGTTTGGTTTAGCTGTCCAGGGGTATGTAGAAACACGATGGTTCAACACGCCCTCCTTGGAAGGCGACCGACAATGTCTGTAGATATAAACATCTCATTCTAATGTAACAAAACCACGACAATTCTCATCTTTGGTGATTACGCACAAATGAAAACATAGTTATGCTTATTATATCCCATTTCTGCCAAAAGATCCCCTAAATGTTACACATTTGACCTTAATACATCAACATCTTGAAAATCACGCTTCACGTTCGTGCTTAGATCAGAAGATTGATAGTGCTGTCACCTTAATATGTAGCTACAGCCAGAAAGCATTTAGTTTAGCCAGTAGCTGTAGGAATGCATTGAAGAAAAAGTCCCCTGTAAAAAAAACATGTTGCAATTAATTAAATGAGACATGATTCTGCTAGGCTAGGCATTCCCCCAAATTCTGAAAAAGAAATTCATTCATCTGTACCATTATCAAAGTATTGCCCTAAGATGATTACGTACGAGATCAGGATATTGTGTGCAAGTAAATGTACTCAGTGACAGTGGAAAGGCTTCTGTGTTTGTATGGTCAGCTGTTTTGGGGGTTTTAAGGCCCCTAAAGGCCCTGAAAAGGCCCTGACGTGATGGTTTCCAACACGAAAAGGACAAATTCTGCCCAAGTTAGAACAGTTTTGTATTTTTCTCTTTTCTTTATGCTTTAAGCTGTGACGTAACTTGTCACATTCTTTAGCGCACCAATCAGGATTAAGTAACATCTGATCAATAAAAGCTGATGAAACAACACGCAGACAATCCCGACGAAGCATATCAGCTGACATTTTGACTGTGCCTAAAATGTTGCTTATTTAGGCCTAATATGTAAAAAGTTATAGAGAAATACTCTCATTTGAAGTTTTCAGGTGCTTTAACATAGATGAAGATCATGAACAGCAACTTTACATTCCAGTATACTGAATTCAATTTACAACAGTTTCACAGCATTACAATTATCAGGCAGTATTTCAATTATTTAGGGTTCAATTATGTTGAATATCGTATTTTAGGATAGAAGAAACTCCTCAAAAGTCACTTGACCTGATACCACAGCTAAAAAAAGAAAAAGAAAAAAAGAACCATATCCAGGTTGATATGCAGAACCCAAACTTAGAGCGTCATTCCTCAGACTACCTTAAGGCTGTGTAAATAGAGTACCATTACCTGTACAAGAATGTTTTCATTGACATTGGATTACAAAAAAAAACCAACCCAAAACTGATCAGCAGTACAAAAGCTTGTACTCCGAGGCTTCGTGAACATCGTGAGTGAGATTTGAGAACACCTTCAGTCATGCTGTCTCTCTCTGTCCATCTCCCCATGTTCCATTCAGCTGTACGTCAGTGCAGGTCATGCTCTCACTTCATAACCGTCAACCACATGTGTGTGCTCACAACGACACACACACACACACACACACACACACACACTCACACACACACTCACACACACACTCTCTCACACTCTCTCTCACACTCTCTCTCACACTCTCTCTCACACTCTCTCTCACACTCTCTCTCACACTCTCTCTCACTCACACACCTGAATCTACAAGATCAACATCCAAGATACAGACTGAAGGAACTAGGATTTGAATGCAGAGTTTTTCCAAAGTGGTTTGTGATAGACCCAGCCTTCGCCCTGGAGGAGAAGAAGAGACTAGTGTCAAAATATTATTATTTGTGACTATTTTCTGCAACAAGTTAGCATTACTGTTTAATCTAATAAAGTGAGCCATCCTGTGGTGGCTGTTTATTAACCTAAACAGGAATAAGAAACGCAAGGCTTTGCTCTTTTCAGAATCACAGAAAGCTCCCTTTGCCAAGTGTTGTCCATCTAAATGACCCAGATTCTTGGAAAATTCTAAATAGCTTAGTGCAAGGTGAGAACACTCTGAAACGGAGAAGCTCCAGCAGGAGACAGAATTAATGCTCAAGGTGATTTCAAATTTATTTAGCGTCAGCACAGACTGCGCTTCCTAATTCCTGTCTACTGCTGCAGCTTACAACAGCAGATACATTTTTACCAATTGTCTTTGCATGAACTGTAATAATTCTGAAAATGGATGGAAAAATAAATCAGAGAGCGGCAAACTGGTAACTGCAATGTGGTGGACATGCTCACCTCTCTTTCAAAGTATCTGGTCCTCCAGGGGGTTTCGGTCTCAGCACGGTGCCTCTCCTCTGTCCTTTGCCTCTCCTCGAGAAGCCTCTTGTGCTCCGTGGCTTTTTCGATATCCTTCTCCCGTAAGGACTCTGTCACATGTTGCCACAGGCGCCTGGAATGTGGTGAAATAATTAAGCATCTTCTCACTATCAACTGGAGTAAGATGTCGGAGAGGCATCATTGTGTTCAAAGATGTGCAAAAACGTTAAAGGGCTGGGACCACCGGTTTTTTGATGAACCTAAAAATAGCAACAAAATTCTGACCTGGATTCAGTCGGGCCCTGCTTCTCAACCGGCCGAACACTCTTCTTCGAGACAGGCAACTTGGTGACGTCGACTACCCTCGTCTCTCCGCTGGTGTAGCTGAACTCCAAAACACCGTTCCACTCGCCCTGCACACGGCACACCACTGCATTGGTGGTGTTGTGCTTCACCTCCGCTGTTACCCTACATTTAGGCAGACGGATGAAAAATGTTATATTGTTTATATGTTATTTTAAGAAGCTACATGTATATTCTTAGAGGCCGTTTCTGTTCTTCTTTCTCTTCTTCTCATTTTCTTGTATACTCAAATGTCTGGTGAGGTACTACACCACCTACAAGAGGTGCGGGATGCAGAGCGACAACAGCATTCGTATAAACTTGTACCCCAGGAGGGACTCACTTGTGTAATTTGCCCCCATAAAACGGTTTCGTCTGGAAAGTGATGATAGCTGAGTAGCCCGATTTGGCGCAGCTGATGTTGACTTTGCCGCCCAGTTCCACCCAGGGGACGGTGAGGATGGAGCGTGCATATGCACAAGGCAGCGTGAAAGTGTACTCTTCATCATGCTCCAACAAATATAAGCAACCTGGAAAGATAAACAGACAAAGAGAGAAACATTAGTAGCAGGTGCAATCATTTCATTAGGCCAAAATGTTTTAATACATTTTTAATTACTTCTTCACTTGACCATGCTGTTGGAGTTTCTGCACTTCTTAATTTGCTTACCTTCCCCTATCATGGATACCCCGATGGACATTCCCATGAACTTGCTCTTGGTCCAAACATGCGTGTTCACACACATCTGCCTCTCCTGGCATTCAGCATAGAAGCCAGACACAGGGGGGTGGTGGGACACCTGCTCTGCCACAAAGCGCACTTGGTAGGGGTCCTGGGAAGTGGCCGGGTCGGGGCTTCCCTGTGAGGGCTCCTTGGAGGCATCTGTTCTCCTGGGTACCTTCCAGGAGCAGTGGAAGGTCTCGCCGATGATGGGGTTGTACGGCTTTTTGGCGATGGCGCCCTTGCGGCCCTCGTGGAAGGAGGTGAGGTAGTACTCCACGAACCGGACCATGCGGTCCTCCGGGCTGCTGCCGTCGGCGATGGCCACAAAGAGGTCCGGGTGTGACATGAAGTCGGCATACATCTCCAGCAGAGAGCGCTTCTCTAGGATGAAGGTAGGGAGGACCACCTGGGAGGAGAGCCCAAATAAATAATAAATATGCTCACAATTTAGTTTTTAGGTGCATTATCATATTATTTACCATCAGTAAATCGAGCAAGATACAATGTGACGTACACTGGACGTGACCCCCACCCAGGGTCACAGTGTCTACTAGCATCTCCATCTGAGGTAAGCCAGTGGATCCACCAGATAACTGCGATAAATCAGAAACCCAAGGAGGAGGATATCCAAATACTAGAACAAACTGATACTGGAAGATAGAATGTCTATCCAGGACTCGACTCTTGGTGTTTAAGTGTGTGTCTGTCTAGGAGAAGTAATTAGAAAGCAAGAAGTACTTACTTCAGGTTGTAAGACGATTGAAAAACGATTGAAAAACAGACCTAACAGTGACTCCTGATCTAAGACTTTTTCCATTCAGACAAGTTGCTTTTTTAAGCTGTAATTTTAAGATCGACTTAATATAGTGGCCGTCTACTACACTATACCTCTCTATAGTTAAAGATTATTCTTCACCAAAACTAATTTTTTTTATCCTTTTCCCCAAATCGACACTGCTCATTCACTCAACGACTTGCAGTTAACCACCTTTGTGTTTGTGTGAATGCCTTCATAATTTCAACGTCTTATTATTAATCTATAGATTTAGATTTTGACATAAAATCAAAGTAAGTGAGTGACGTGACTTTAACTCTTTCCAACTAAAATCTTAAACTGGTTCACCTAATATCAGTAAAATAGTTTGAATTGAATCAATAGTTCTTAAAATGTCTTATGGCTCACTCAGTGACATCTGAAGTCGTTTTCCTCCTTGATCCACATTCTTCATATATTTTATTATTTTTCATATAATAAAAATTGTGTCATCAAAAGTTATTTTGTTCTGAGCACTCAACATTTATTGCATGTCTGTGCATCCTGGCAGAGGCTGTGACTCTGACTCTTACTGAGGTTTCTTCCATTTTTTTATCCTCGCTTAGACGAGCCCCTTGAGGAAAATTGGGACTACTTGACTAGTTGCCATAACGTCCGGGTTAACACAACACGGGATAAGTCGGAGGTCTGTGAACCTGACTAAACATCATTGTCAGATAGATTTTTTGACAGCAATGGTGGGGTTGAACAATGAAAACAACATGATGCCATGCTACTTCACAACGTCATCCAACTACGTTTTTTGATGTGGATACAACCTAGTGGCAGAAAACCACATACTGTATGTTTAAATGGTCTTTAAAGCTTAAAGAGTAGAAGAAGAAAAGGAGAATTTTCTCAACCTATAAAGAAAAATTGGAGATTTCACTGGACAGTGACCAAAAGGTAAAGGTGGTAGAACCAAGATAGTATGCAATGTGAGGAAGTCACAATGAAGAAATAAGGCAATAAAATTAAAATGGGAGCGTAAAATAAACCTTCCTCGTGACCTCTTAGGGTTTCTTAGAGTATTTGAAAATACACAGTGTGTTATAAACTGCATTATGTGGATGACTTCTTTACACCACATATAACACATTGTTTTGCTGCTTGGAAGTACATGGAACTCGACCTACCCGCGTGAGGTCCATGCCCAGCTTCAGCTGGGACAGCAGGTGTAGGATGACGCTGCGCTCCTCCTCCACAGCACCCAGGTCCTCCTCCTTGTCTGTGAAGCAGTCCTCCGCCTCATCTTCCGCATCAATGTCTTCCTGCTCCTTAGAGAGTTATGGGAGGGGAATGTGATTTAGTCAACAAACTGCTCGAGTGGCTCTGTGGAGGTCACCAGTAAGAGATTGTTTATGTTGGGAGAGACTGCATAACTGCTCAACCAAGCTTTTAAAAAAAAAAGGAAAAAAGATAACATTATGGGAAATAAATCAAATCAAACTTAATAACCAACAAGTTGGTACAACCTTTTCCAAAAAATATCTTAGCTGCTTCCTGGTGTAGAGTGGGTGTCATTGGGATGGTCTTACCCCAGAGAAGCTGCAGGACTCGGGGCTGCTGAGCTCCAGGCGGCTCCCCTCCAGCGCGCCCTCTCCTGTTGTGAAGCTCCCAAGGGAGCTGCTGCCGTTCTTCAGGATGTCAGGCAGCTTGGGCTCCAACCACTCGATAGTGGGTCCTGCCATGGATGGGGAGTGCACAGAGGCAGGTTTAGAGGTACTCACGGTACTATCTCCCCCCACCCCCGCCCTCCAAAATCCCCCGACAGTCACAGCTGCACACACACACACACACACACACACCCACCCACACACACACGTAGCTCTCCACTCAGCCTTCCATTTGCCACACAACACCTCGCAACCACCTGGCTGCTGACTGGACAGATGGCTTATTTCTTAGCCAGTTGCCCTAGACCAAAAGAGTGTAACCCAACTCCTCCGATGAGCCAAGTATCAGGATACTTTGGCCCCGCCGACAGGAACCATCCCCATCCTCTGATTGGTTAAACCACTACAGGTACTGCTTGGGCATTTTTATATGTATGTTTAGAGGTGGGCAGATCTCATTCAAATTCGCCTTGTGCGTCGTCGGACAACTTAATCTGATTGGCTGCTGCGATGAGTCTGGCCTAATGAAATATACATTAAGTAATGAGACCTGCTGTGAAAAAAGTGGGACATTAGCTGTGGACTTTTTCCTATTTCAAATCATCCATAAATAGAAAGAGTTGAAATATCAGCAAGTCAGACACTTTTTAAAACTGCACTGTACGTTTGTCAATATGAAGCTGGTTTATGTTTACCTTTGTTCTCAACGTGTTGCTGATGCATATTTTAACCATTTGAGATCTCATTACTTTCGAGACAGGTGGTAAGAATAGGTACGGTTCCCCATCAATAATGCAAAATAATTCCACTGTCGGGCCAACACAAACTGATTGGGTGCAGGCCTGCATATGCAAGACTATGATTTGCTGTAAGGACTGCAAGTTTTAGGCCATGTTAAAATAAAATAAAAATCACCTGCAAGTATCTGAAAAAACCTAGAGAAGGCAGGAACCAACAATCACTGTATACAAAATATACACATCAACCCCCCCCTCCACTGACCTCCCAGGGAGCCTCTCTGCCTGGCCACCTGCTGCAGGTGCAGGATGTGCAGGCACTCGTTGAGGCAGTTCATGGTGGCCATGGAAGTGGCCTTGAGCATGAGCAGATCCTGGTCCAGAGGGGAGAGGCCGGGGGCTGCAGGCAGGCCCTCGATGCTCTGGATCAGGTCTCTGTGCTGGCCCTGGGCCTGGCTCATCATCTGGGGGCAGTTAATGAGAATGGTTTGGTTATTTTGGGCAAAAACAACTTTGTCAAGATGTGTAATGAATTTGATGTGTGCATGTGCTGTTGATTTTGTTTAAATTAATTGAAATATTTTAACCTGGCTCCCTTTTTTATGTATGCACAACATTTTTGTTTAGAGACAATAATATTAACATAAAAATTAAAAACATGCCTGCCTACCATTAACCCTTAGCCCTGTAATTTAAATCCTATCCTACTAAAAACTTGGACATTTTAACAGAAACATGTAATAGATATGGCAGCTTTGGTATCAGCACTTCTCACAGTAAGCTAAGAGTGGGGGGAAATCCCTAACTGCCATGTTCTGACTAAAAATCAATATAGAACAAAATGCATGATTGATCCAAACATTCAAACTAGCCCAAATTGTGCTGCTGAAATCTGAAATGTGCATTTAATCATTACAATATTGTCTAAATCTAATCAACATGTGTTTGCTCTTAAAATAGCAGAAGTGCAGACACAGTAGATAGATCACACCTACTGATGTTAGAGGAAAGACCAGAGTACCCTCTTGTGGACAAACAGCATCACCCAAATGGGTCAAAGTGAAGATCACAACTAAGCAAATCTAAATCAACATAAGCTCTACTATAAACTAAGTCTTAAATATTACATGTTTACCACTGCATGTTTTGTAGGAACATAATGTTGCTTGCACTAAAAAAGGGGCTCTTTAAGATATCAACACTGTACTCAAGTTTAAACATTAATGAAACCTAATGTAGTGAGTAGAGTGCCAGCCGTATTTTTTTCCCCTGCTCATGTAATTATGTTATTATGACTTTCTATAATATTTATGGTTCATCTCATGTTTCTTTTGTGGAATTAGTAATCTACAATAACCAATTATCTATCCTGTAAATTGAATAAATCTTTGCCTGTTATAGCTACAGTTCTTGCGTTCCCTCTGTGTTTGTGTCTTTGCGGACAGTGTTGGTTGCATAACAGATGCATCAAACCTCCCAGTGACGGATAAAAAAAATCTAACAGCATTTTGATTGGATCAGATGCAGATTTTCTTGACTTCTCTTGTAACTCACATTTCTGCCAAACAGCAGACTAAAACCTTGGCAGAAAGACCTTAATTACATTTTTGCTTGTGTCCATCTTGTCTCCTGCTGCATGTTAATATAAGCTGTTTTGACCCATATTTTTAGCATCCTAGTCAATTGCTGGTCCTAACATGTCATTTAGTTAGTACATGTAACTGTAGGAATAGATTCTGAGCAAAATACATATTCCAGGTCAGCCGAACATGCAAGCAGTGGGTTTCCGGCTTGCTGCACCTCTCTGGCGTCCAGCAGGTGGTCTGGCAGCAGGGACCTCTTGCTGGAGTATAGTGACGAGCCCTTGTTGAAGCCAAATACAGCGGGGGGGTTTTGGCTGGGCCGACGCAGGGACATGGGGGAGCTGCCGCTGCCTTGAGACGCCATCGAGTAGCTCCGGGACTTGGGTGGGGGATTACTCTGTGCAATGCAAAATATTGACTGCCGTTAGAATATACCTCACTCACATTTATGTCTAAAGTCAATTTCTAAAAAAAATAAATATCTGAAGACAAATGCACCACTAAGACAGGCGGGGTTAACATGTTTGAATGGGCAATTAAATGGTCAATTTCACTCCATTTATAAAAGTTATAAATTGCAGTAAAGCAAAATTTGCAGTTACTGTTACACTGCATACATCTGCCATAAGAACATATAGCTCCTGGCCATTTCCAACCACAGCTACAAAAGAGCGTTGGGGAGTTCTGTGTTTTTAGTTCTCATATATCTCAAGACCATTAAAATAGAATGAGGGCAGAATAGTAGTCTGTAGATCAATATCCCGATCAATACTAACGTTCACTGTGCTTACACACATAAAGGTGAAACCTTATCTTTTACAGAAGAATTAATATTAAACAGCTCTAATGAATTTTGCAGCGGCTTGGTTCGAATGCTTCACTGTCATATGAGGAAGGAAAACAGGAAGCGGAAAACTATCCAGCTCACATCCGCTCCGTCACACTTTGATGTCTGTTTTACACAACTCATCACACACACACTTTTAAGGGGTGTTGTGCAGTGGTCACTAAAATGTTGAGAGTATAATATATATGCATACTTGCATGCAGGAACAAGATTGAGGTGTGAGTGATCCTTGCAAACATCAACATACAACTATCAATATGTGCCCATATGCATGCACAGCACCTTACCTTCCCCATGGCCTCTGTGTGGTGCTGTGTGCAGATCTGCAGTCTGCTCACCCAGTGCTGCCTCTCTTTGGCATCGGTGGCTGAGACACACACACACACACACACACACACACACACACACACACACACACACAAGAAAGAAAAACAAGAGAGCAAAACCTTGTTACGGTTAATCTACAATGAGCTTACTCAACATCGATTCCTGTATTCTCCTGCATCACTGGCACCAGATAATGGAAAACATCCAGATCAATATTGTATGAACCTGATGGATGGTGATGACAGTAGGGCTGTAGGTAGAAATGGAGCTGACAAGCACCAATAACAGCAAGCTAACTCACTGTAAATACAAGAGTGTCAAGAAGTCAGTGTGTGTATTTAGGTACCCACCCCTGAGCTTGTACTGCTCCCCGCTGATGGCGTTGACAGTGAAGGTGTGCGAGTCCTCGTCGCTGGGCGAGATGACAGCCCCTGCCAGGGGGAGCATGCCCCGGGGCTTCTGCGCCCGCGACTGCTCATTGACAAAGTACTCCAGCAAGCCCGCCTCATTGTTTAAGACAAAGAACCTGCAAAACAACAGCCACCATGACAATGTCGCTCTCCCCTACAAACCACCAAGGCATTACTTGGATTGGATTAGACTGGATTACAATAAGGAACTTGGTTGAAAGAGGCTGGTGAATTCTGATAAGACAGACTTTGTTTTTCTTACCCCTGACTGGGACACCATACTTTTTAGTATTTCAATAAAAACTCACCTGTATTGCCACCCTGTTACAAGGTTGGTATATTTCATCAAGTAGCCATCAATATTCTCCATGTGGTCACTGGCGTGAAAGGTTATCAAGCAAAAGGAGACAGAGAACACTTGTTAAAATACTTGGACTGACTTCACACCCATAAAAACACAAAAGGTGTATCCACAAATCAATCACAGAGCATTGCCTAGTGACAGACCTGCTTATAAGGCGCTGTGATTTAATCTTTACCTATCTGATTAGGAAGCCAATTTGATCATAAACTTAAGAGCAAATTTCTCAAATCATTACAAAACTCAGAACATAATGGCTGTATCACAGTTATGCTGCTGGTGCCTCATTGGATAGGTAAACAAAATACGCCTTGAATCAGTGAAATAGCTTGAGGGCTACCAGGACAGCCAGCCACCCACCTATACTGCCAGCTTTTGGCACTTGCTCTCCCCGAGCTTGGGGTCTTGTTCTGGGGAAATACATCCAGCCTGCCTTCGTTTTCCGTGATTCGTAGAGCCGTGGTTTCCCCTTGCATAGTCACAAGCAACTCAGCCTCCTTTAGACGCTAACTCAGCCTGCTAGCGTGAAGCTAACCTGTCAAAGCTGGCCAAGTCACAAAGATTTTGTTTAATGGACGAGCCTCCTTTATGACACAAAGTGAGGCTGTCGGTTCATCGCTTATCGCAACGCGCCACACACCCAACAGACGCCGGACTGTTAACTGGTTACGTTAAATAAAGGCTGATAAAACATGGTCTGTGCTGCTAATACTGGGAGTAGCTTTATAGCTTGTGTTTGCGAGCTCGCCTGATATTTACTGCTTTGGCTAGGAAAACCAGTCACGTGACTGGATCACGAGCGCAGGCTTCCGTCGCGTAAATTTAAAATAATAAAAATAAAAACAAATTAAATGAATTAAATTATTAGCCAGGTAAATCCGCCTAACCTTCTCCTCTGATAAAAGTAGAAAAATAATGTTTACAGAGATTTTGAAAATGATTAAGGAAAAAAGTCAAGAGGTGGAAATAAAGCTACACCGGAAGTTGAGCATTTTTATAAATTATATTATTGTTTTATTGTATCCTTATCGGTAACTGGTTCTTTCCTAATAAATAAACAAGTGAGCATACAAATATGAAAAAAAATTGGTTTTTATTTTTCCTTAACTTATCACTTAGACATAGGGTCTTTTAACTTGCCAATGTAATGTTATAAATGTGAGTGAATCACCCTGATTTGATTCCCGAAAATGAGCACAGTTTTGAAAAATAAACTTTTTTTTATATATTTAAGTTTTACATATATAAGTTCTCTGCAAATATTTATTGATGTGTTTGCGTGTTTACTCGTTTTAGGCTATTTGTAGGAGCGGACTTTATTTTGAAAACACATTTTAAACCGGAAGCGTCGTTAAATAATAAAACTTGACGTCGGTTGGTTGCGTGAAGGCAGTGCAACGAGCGGGTTTCTGCGTTTCCAATCAATATTCAATAATAAATGACCGGTAAAACGTCAATGCACTACATATGGGGGTTTCCCTTCTTCTTTGTAAGCTCACTATTACCGTTCAGCTCTATAAAATAAACCCAGTAGTGATCTGTAAACCTTCCAACACGTGTAAAAATGTTTAAAATCAATAGTCACAGCTGTGTTTAGACGCCTGTAATATTAGTTGTATAACATTGTCATTATTATTGTTGTTGTTCCACTTTTGCAAAAGCAAGAGGTGTCGGCTATCCGTGGCGAGCAGGCGAGGGGAGGAGTGGATCGGTAGAAATTTATAGGGCGTATGAGGAAGTTATAATAGACGAGGGAAAAAGGAACAACAGGATTTTCATTTTCAGACGCACACGATTTACTACTCTCAAAATGCCTGGAAAGAAAGTCTGCATCGTCGGATCTGGGAACTGGTAAGTTTTTGTGGTTCAGGTGCATCTTTCAGGGGGACACAAATAACCTTTTTCGTACTAGTTAATAATGGCAGCCAACGCTCAACCAAACGCGGGTTTTTGTCATTTTGCAGATTTAGATCCATACCGGCAATATGTTGTCCGATTAACGCAATATTTGTAGTCTTATTTATCACATCAGATAAATGCAAAACTAAAACGTCCAGCTGCTGTGGATCCCTCCTCCCTTTTTACAGCAGCCCATTTTATACCAACCTGAAGGATTAGAACATGCAGGCCTTTATACTGCTAGATTATCCTAGTGCCTCATAATAACTGATGATAATGACATTTGGATACTTAATGGAAGTTTTAGCTCCCAATGTGGCCATCAGTGTATTATGAAATGAGGAGGTTGTAGACTGCTTTTCCATTTTCCTGCACGTTTAAATTCTGATTCACTTGATTTGAAGTAAAATGCTTGTTTTTTTCACCCTAGCAGACCTGTTATAGTTTCCCATAATTCAATTTGATTCATTAGTCTGGATCTAGAGTGTTTCTTTTAGGGGGGGTCTCTTTGCTGTGTGGATTGGTTGAAATGTTAGTTTTACACTCACCGTCTGCTCATGTCCTTCACTCCCTCCAGGGGCTCTTCCATTGCCAAAATAATCGGGCACAATGTCAAAGCATCCAACCGATTCGACCCAATGGTGAATATGTGGGTTTACGAAGAAATTATTGATGGAAGGAAGCTAACAGAGGTCATCAACACGGACCACGAAAACGTCAAATATCTGCCGGGTCACAAGCTGCCTAGAAATGTGGTAAGTGCTCTAATTTTGAGGAGTTTTGATAAGGAGGCTGTGTGTCAACAGGTGAGGCAATTCACTGCATTCTTGAAACAGACTTTGATTGCACAGTGAGACATTACACTGATAAGATAAATTCACTTCGACCCATATCTCTTGGGTGTCATCCAGTTTATCTACCATTGCTATGTAATTGGGTGCAGGAGAAGAAGAGACAGTTTTTTTCCCCTATGACCATTAACGTTAGACAATATATACTAGTCTATACAAAAAAGATTTGTTTAGAATTAACTATTAATAATATAGGCCTGCCTTGCATTTCTATGCATTTTTTTGGTTGCTTTGTTGTGTATTTGTCACTTCCTCGTGGATAACCACATGTTGTCATATTGAGGTATTTTCCAAGAAGCGACAATTTGGTTTTAGTTTGTGCTGATTTTTCTTATTTCCAAACTTGCCAAGTCTTTAAATCTTAATAAAGACTTGGGTAGCAAGAGCAAGGGCTTCTTAAAAAATTACTTCAGTTCATTGTATAATTTAGCTTTTTGTGAATTAAGTCTGGCATAATGATATTTGTGAATTTAGTTTTTGTTATTGTTATGTATGTTTATTTCCTATATCTGACATGTATATAATAATAATTTTATATTCAAAATTCAGGACCCATATATATTTCTTTGTTGTTGGTGGCTCACTAGGTCGCTATTCCAGAGATCACAGAAGCCGTCAAAGGGGCAAAGATCCTCGTCTTCGTGATCCCGCACCAGTTCATTGGCAAACTCTGTGATCAGATGAAACCTCACATCACGGAGGGAACCATCGGGATATCACTCATCAAAGTAAGAGCCTGCCATTAACTTTGTGTCAGATTTCCTCTCGGCAAAAAAGGGGAAACAGAGAAATATTCAGTCACTTGACTTTACTTCACATGGTTCTGTAGCCACAACATCACAGGATGTTGTAGTTGAACAATACACAGCCAGTCACCCATATGAAACATGAAGTAGCCTATCGATCACCAGTACCTCAAGGCCCTGTCCAGGCCAGAGATTATGTCACTTTGTGAAAAATACAAACAATTGTTATTGTCATCCAGGGTATAGATGAGGGGCCAGATGGGCTAAAGCTCATCTCAGACATCATCCGAGAGAAACTAGAGATTGAAGTCAGCGTCCTAATGGGGGCCAACATTGCCAGCGAGGTGGCAGATGAGAAGTTCTGCGAAACCACCATCGGTAAGACACCATTTTTTTTACTATAACGGTTATTTTTTTATTTTAAAGTCCACAAAATGCAGAGGGTAATTTACGATCAAAAGAGGATGCGGTGTGGTTGTCAAGACAACAATAAAAACACTGCATTACTTCCATGTTTTAGAATTCAGTGACCTTTTTTCTCTTTATCTTCTTCATTATAATAACCTGCTTTCAATACAGGGGCAAGAAATGAGGCAAACGGCGTTATCTTCAAAGAGCTGCTTCAAACTCCCAACTTCCGCATCACTGTTGTAGAGGAGAGTGATACAGTGGAGCTGTGTGGAGCTCTGAAGGTAAAGACAGCCACATATTGGGAATATTAAGGATTCCCTCCATTACAACATATACAAATAGTCTGCTTGGAAAAATGTGTGTCTAATATGTTTTTTCCACAAAAAAGTACACATTAAAATCCTTAAAAGGGCATCTACTCCTTGAATCTATGAATATGAGAATGTCTAAATTTTTATTATTAAAAATATTTATTATTCCAAATTTCAAATCTTCTCTCAGTGTGTTAAATAAAAGCAAAATGTTGCATGCAGAACATTGTGGCTGTAGGTGCTGGATTCTGCGACGGCCTTGGTTTTGGCGACAACACCAAGGCGGCGGTGATCAGGCTCGGTCTGATGGAAATGATCGCCTTCGCCAAGTTGTTCCGCAAGGACCAGGTGAGCTCCACCACTTTCCTGGAAAGCTGCGGCGTGGCCGACCTCATCACCACCTGCTACGGAGGACGAAACCGAAAAGTTGCAGAGGCCTTTGTCAAAACGTCCAAAGTGAGTCGGACATGAAAATTTTGCTTACAATAACTTGTCACTTACAGTCATTTGTTGCACTATCTTGAAATAGTTGCAAAATAAACATAGTTAAATCAGCTGTTTTTAATTTATATTGTAGAGGTCATGCATTAAAAGTTTGATATGTTACATAGTATTAATTGTCTGCATTTTACTGAATAGACCGAAACATCTACTGGGGTTTATAGATAAATGATTTGTGACAGGAAACCTCAGTGTACTGTTTGAACAACAATATGAGGAATATGACAATAAAATGAGGAAATGAACATATTCAGAAGATGTCCCCAAACAACAGTTTAAACTGTCTCTGTATTTCTTTCCCCAGTCTATCACTGAGCTGGAGGCAGAAATGCTCAACGGACAGAAGCTGCAGGGTCCACAGACCTCAGCCGAGGTCTACAAGCTCCTACAAAAGAGGGACATGGTCAACAAGTGAGTCCACTTACTTCTATAAAAACTAACACTGTTAACACTTACCTGTTTTTTGTAAAAGCATATGAATCAAACTGGTCCATTTCAAACACACCTCCAATGCATGCTTAAATACGATGTCTCACAATGCTTCTGCTGGGTATTGGGCTAGGACAATTCGTTATATTCAACTACATACAGTATCTACATTTATGATATGCACTCAGTGGCAACTTTATTAGGTACACCTGTGCATTCTTCTGCCGTTCAACACAACAATTATGCATTTACAAAGTTATTATAAAGTTATAATATATTCAGTGTTTGTATACTCAATTATATGTTTATTATTGAGCTCAATGTTTTATTATTATCTTACATGAACGGGGCAGAATATTAGAAACACACGGGCGGCTTGGCTCAGAGGCAGAGCAGGTCGTCCTCAAGGTTGTGGGTTCGATCCCCGGCTCTGGTGCCACTTCCTTGAGCAAGATCTGAACCTCAATTGCCGTGCGGTGTGTTGAATGTTGTTTCTGTTCACTGAGTGAATGTGTGTGAAGGGTGATGTGGCTAGTGTAAAAGCGCTTTGAGGAAGACTATAAAGTAGAGGTCCATTTACATTTACCATCTACATATATAATTCAGTCCAGTAGAGCGAATATTATCAGCCACTAT